CCCCGCCACCGCGGCTGAGGGTGCCTCCGCCTCCCACAGGGAGCCCCCCGCCGCCGCTGAGGAGAGCCCCACCGGTACCGCCGAGGCGCCGCCGCCTGCCCACCCCATGACGGCCGACTCCTGGAGGAACCTCATCGAGCACATCGGTAAGGGAGCCGTTCCCCGCCTCGCTGGACTCTCCCCCCGGCCGGGTTTGGGGCGGGGGAAGGGGGTCGGGGGTCCGGCGGCCGCGCTCTCCCACAACTTGTCCCATTGCCCGCGCTCGGCGGCGGCGCAGCAGCCCCTAGAGGTGCCGCCGCGGCGGGACGGGCCCCTCACCCGAGGGTCTCCCGCCCCCCCTAAGCCCCCTCAAACCGGCAGAGTTGAGCGAGCGGAGCGCGGATGGAACCCCGAGCGGGACGCGGCAGGAGGGAGCCCCGGGGGGAGGTCAGGGGGCTGTGTCGCCGGAGCCCGGCTCCCCGTCCTCGCTGGAAAAACCTCTCTCTGCCGGCTTAAAACAGAATAATCCCACCCTCCGTGGTGTGGTTTTTTGCCGTCTTTAGGGGCATCAGGTTTGCAGGCTGCCTGGCAGGTGATTTAAATCCGTCGCTGAGCAGCTTTACCTCCCTTCATTAGCAACAATTACTTCTTGTAATTACCGAGCGGTTGAGGCTACAGCCAACTTCCTGCTGAAATCTGATTTTGCGTAGCCAAAAAAAGGTATAAGACTGAAGTACCGGGTCAACAATGCTGTATGCCAGGGTCATTGTGCATTTGTGACAGGCATTGGTGTAGCATTTGCCACGGAGGAGTAAGTTATTTTATCATCCGCGGTCTCTTTGTAAAGGCAGAGTTGAGGTTATCTGGCTGTTATGCTTTTGCTCTTGTGGTATTTTTGAAATTTTTATTTTATTTTTTTTGTGTGGGATGCGGAGGGGACCTTCCCAGCTTGTTTCTTGGTTTCCCACATCTGAATGGTGACATCCCTCAGAGAGAGATTTGGGCAACTGCAAAGTTAACCCTCACACCCTGAGGGAGGTTTTATGGTGGGAAGCTTCGCCTTTTTTTTTTTTTTCTTTAAGCAGTTCTGTTCAATTTCAGGAAGTGAAATTGCAAGGTACTTGGATCTAGAGGGCAAGAATGTAGCGCTTTGCTACATTGATGGGAAAAAACAGATAATTTTCATGAACAGCAGGGCGAACCTTCCCTGGGCAGGAAGGAGGAGGCTTCTCAGGCTGTCTGTGGGAGAGGAGAGCGGCTGCTGTTTGGTGTCAGGGCTGATTCTTGGAGCACCTGATGCCACCAGGACAGCGCTGGGGAAAGAGGCTGGTGTGAAACCAGCAGCCTGCCAGCGTCTGTCAGGCAAAACAGCTGAGTTTGGGGCCTTCTGGAGCAAAAGTGGTGAACAATTTGCATGGATGTTTGCCAGATGGGTTACTTGGCTGTCTAGGTCCTACTCTCCCAAGGCAGATGTGTCCATACATTGTTGGTTTACTGGGACTGTGCTGCTGAGAGGCCTGATAAAAATACTAAAAAAACAGCAGAACTTCAAAGCAGCCCAGTTGCTATACTTATATATATTTTTATAAGCTGTGTATCAGAGGGAAGCTGTGTGATCGCTCTACACACGTCAGTGTAACTGCAAGTAGGTCTGTTGCACCTTGATGGAGGAAACAGGGTCTTGACAACCAGAGATGCTACACTAATCCCCGACAGAGAGGTTGTTTCAAATGGCAGGAGCACAATCGCTCCCTTCCCTCCCTCCTGCCTTTGGGGCATTAATGGACTTTTTGCCTGAAACTGGAGCAGAGAATTTCAGAGAAAACGTCTCTGGACCTCCTGAGATTTTACATAGCTTTCAATGTAATAACGTTTACTTTAACAGCACTGCGAACTCTCTAAGGCGAGCATTTTCCACAATTAGTAACTAGTTTTTCAATTCCCCTCCCGGTTTTTGAGGGAGCTGGGAAGGCAGGCTATGACAGCAAAATTAAATGGAATAAACACAAAGGAAAAAGCCTATTATGTTCTATACAAACTATGTAAACACCCCTTAGGAAGATCAGCCTTAACCACTTAAGTCAACGGGCAACACCAAACCCAAAGTCTGACCACATGGTTAACCTTTAGCCAGGTCACAGTGGGGACAGTTGGGACATTAAGCAATGAATGGAGCTTGTACGGGTCTCTGACATTTTGTACTTGTTCACTTAGTAAATGTAAGCATTTTCTAAAGCATTGTATCTTCTGAGTCACATTCAACTACTGATCTCAGCTTCTTTCTACACATTCAGTCAGTCCCCAGATGTATCGCTCTCCTTTCAACATGTCAGAACCCTGTTCCCTGCCCTTGCGTCTCCTACACCACCCAACCTGTGCCGTGACCATCTCCTGCTACGTCCAGAGTTGGCTTTTGCATGGCTTCTCTCCCTCTCTCTCATCTAAGCCTTTGCTCTACCCATTGTAACCTCTTTACTGACATATGGATGTCAGTAAAGATAGCGAGATATTACACCAAGATAGCGAGAATGTCTTTTATCCTTGCTGTCACGACCTTCTTTGTTTCTTCCTACCCTTCTTCTGCCTGAACATCTACCTGTCATTTGTCTTTCTGCTGGTATCACCTTTCTGCTTCCTCTCTGTATTGCTGTCTGTGGTAGAGCTTCATCCAGTCTCTCTTCAGCTCCCTCCTTAAAATGACTTACCTTGCTGTCATTTCTGACTGAGTTCTGGTGGTAGATGCCTTTAGTCCAAACCATCTCCCCGTGTCTGTATCTGCTTTTGTCTGCCACCAAAGGCTCCATAGGTCTTCCCTCTTTGGTTGGTCAGGCAGGGAACCTGGAAACAAAGTCAAGTTGGATTTTATTTCCTTAACAGCAAAGAGGAAATTTGTCTTGAGGATCTTTTTTAAAGGGCTTCCCTCCATATCTATACAAGGGACGCTAAATGCCCTTTACCCAAAATATCCTTAATTACCTTTGACTTGCAGGGCAGACCCACCAGCACAACATGTACAATCAGACACTGCAAGTATAATTATCTCCGATATGAGTAAAATACATAGATTATGCTTCAATTTCCCAGCACGTTTTCCCTTGATGAAGTGCTGCCCACACTGCTGCAGGGGGTTACCTCCCAGCCTGTCCCACTCTCTGGCGTGCAGCTCGGTGGGGCCAGAAGCACCCCGTGCCCTCCTGCTGCCCCAGGGCCCTCAAGCCCACTGAGCTCACAGATCGGTACCACTCAAAGCACCTCCGACTTAGCATGCTCTCCCATCCCTGAAGGAGCCTTTCCACCCCACCGCGTCCTCAGCACCCTCACTGATGCTGAATAAGGGGCAGAAATGCTTAGGAAAGCCACAGAAGCCTGGTTGACGCAGAGAGGAATTATGTAAGGAGCAGCAGCATGCAGAACTTCAGGGGAAGTCTCCTCTCCCTGGTTATCGTGTAGGAAGCTAACAGAAGACGGTATGGTTTCCTAGGCACAGCTACCCTTAAATGCTATTTTAATCCGGTGTTGAACGTCTTTCCAGGGAGAACAGATAACAGGATACACTTGCAGACTGCGGTAATGCTGTCCTTTGTGCCTCTGCTTTTCCCCAGCATATTTCCAATACGGTTTTAACCTAAGTGACTGGTGCAGAGCCTCCTGAAGACTGGCCCAGAGATTTAAAAGGTGGCAACATCTATGTTTCTGCCCTCCCTGGACCGACTCCTGACCCGGTTGTCTCTCACCATATTACACATAGGATCTGCTTCTGGGATCCAATCTCGTGAATGCATGTGACCAGATGGATTTTAACCCCTAATGATTTGGACAAAATAAATTATCTAGGGTTTGGGGGTTTTTTGTTTGGTTTTTTGCTGGTTTTGGGGTTTTTTTTGGTTGGTTTTTTTTTGTTTTAACATCAAGGACTTTTTATTCATTCATGCTACACTTTGCAATTCAAGTATAAACCAAGGGAGATAATGTAAATTGCGCTCCTTCAATTTGAGTGAGGGGAGTGACTCAGAGCAGGCTCATGCTCTCTTGTCTTTTCATATTTTCTAAATTACATTTTATATTCAAGCAATTAATATTCTGGGTCCTACAGATGGCTCAGGGAGAGAAATGGGGCAGTTAGAAAGCCCTGGGAGAGACAAAAGATCTTCTAAAGACGGCCAAGGAACTTCAGGATTCCTACCTTTTTCGTGCTGTCAGATGAAATCAGGGGTGGGGGGTAAATTCTGCGCAATTTCGTCTGCTCTTGAAGTTAGTAAGTGGAACTCAGAAGATACCTTGTGTGGCTGATGTGCCGCAAGATGGTGTGAATTCAGAGCCTCTTCCTTTGTGCTGCGGCATTCAGGGACCTTTTGAGTGTTATTTTCCTGTTTTCAATCATCACAGAAACTGAGAAGGAAAGCAGAATGAAATAATTAAGCGAGGTGTCCGAGCCTAACTATGAAGTCAATACTGAAACGAACTACTATCTGTGGCTTCTTGTCCCAATGCTTCACCTGTCCAATGCCTTAACAGCAGCTCAGTGTTTCCTCCTCAAGGATTTTCATGGCCATCAAATTACCCCTTTAAAGTACTTCTGATGTGTGCAGTATTATTTTTCCAGACACACGCTTACACATACCTATCAATCTGTAGAACTATATAACATAATACTATTGCAGAAGAAAATCAAGGTTTGAAAGAAACATTTCAAAGCCTGGAACATAACAAACCTTTTATGTCTTCCGATTGGTCATGGATTCTGACTGTGTTACTAAATGTTTTGTGACAGCAGATTGTTGACAGCACTTTAGATTTAGAAATGGCCTTCCATTTATAGTTGCCACTTCTGGCTGAAATAGGAACGCCGTAATTGGCATTTTCCCTCAGCACGGAAGGGATCTCTCTCACCTCTGCCGAGGTGAACTAAGGCAAAACAAACATCCTTTCCCACAATACCTTCCTACTCTGTTGTTCAGCTGTAGCCTCTCAGAACTGTCGGTGTTGCCTCCTAGGGCTCCTGTATCAGGAATATCGAGATAAATCCACACGCCAGGAGATTGAAACCAGACGACTGCAGGATTCACAGACAGACCCTGAGGAGAGCTCGCCCAGCGAGGAAACCCCATCTGAAGCAGAACCTAGAAGTACAACCGAAAACAAAGCTCCACCACAAATCAGCTTGCTGAGGAACTCCAACTCCAGGTTCAACTTATGGCAGGATCTTCCCGAGATCCGGAGCAGCGGGGTCCTCAGCATCCTCCAGCCAGACGAGATCAAGCTGCAGGAGGTAACGGGGGAGGGGGGGGTGGTGTTCCTTAATTGGGTTGCTGAGAGTAAATTAAGTCAAATTATTAAAATTTAAAACTGAAAAGCTTCATAGCAGTCACAGACAAGCCTTGTCCTGCTGAGTACTTCTCTGTGTTGCACTGGTTAGCACCAGTGTTTTTTTTTTGAAACTACACAGGTTTTTCTATATGCTGCTGCTGCTGGACATTTCTCTAGCGAAAAAAGAACCCTTTTCTGATTCAGTGTTGGGAGCAATTTACAAAGGGAGGGAAGGATAATGAAGAGGCTCTTGCGATAGAGGTTTTGGTACCCAGTGCACGTTAATCCTCCTCTGAAGTTACTAGCAGGATACATGCTTCCCACCAGAAATCTTAGGAGAATTCAACCGTTAACTGTAATCTGTTTTAAATGCGATGGCATTAATGGAAAGGGAAGAGATGGAGGTTGATAAGCTTCCTTATTTTTAAACATTGTTACTTGGAGACTTATGCAAAACAGTGAAAAATAATGCGAGGTATATTTGCCTTCTAGGCATACAGTGCAGTGACATCACTGTTTAGGTCATACTCTGTGAAATTTACGAGGCTGCATCAAACAGTGAAAGGAGTAGGTGGGGGGGGTAAGCTGCTGCAATCAATGAAAACATCAGTCACACAACAATTTACAGCTGATTGCTGTTTTGGGTAGCGTGGGGAGCAGGAGTGCTCTTTGTCAGCGCACGGCACCACATTTGTAGCCAGCGGTGGGGACGAACAAGCCTCGTTTCCTGTGTGATGTGTGGTGTAATACCAGCAATGGGCCTCCACAGGCTCCATCCTGTGGGTCCTACGATTCTCCTGCCCCAGGATTGCTCCTGGTGAGACCACTGTGGCAGTGTATTTGTTCAGCCCTGGCTTTGATTGTACCCAAAGTGCTGGAGAGCATCTCAGGGTGTGAGCGGTCTCCCCCAAGTTCACCAGGATTTGCGCAATCAACATCAAGCGTGTTTATACACCGGGCTGGCAAGCACAGGCTGTTGGTGTGTCAGGGTTATGGCTGGAGGTGACTAAAGTTATTTGTTGCTTTTCCATGTTCTTCTCCTGCTCTGGCTGTTGGTGTGTCAGGGTTATGGCTGGAGGTGACTAAAGTTATTTGTTGCTTTTCCACGTTCTTCTTCTGCTCGGGTTAAGCGAGGTGTCCGAGCCTAACTATGAAGTCAATACTGAAACGAACTACTATCTGTGGCTTCTTGTCCCAATGCTTCACCTGTCCAATGCCTTAACAGCAGCTCAGTGTTTCCTCCTCAAGGATTTTCATGGCCATCAAATTACCCCTTTAAAGTACTTCTGATGTGTGCAGTATTATTTTTCCAGACACACGCTTACACATACCTATCAATCTGTAGAACTATATAACATAATACTATTGCAGAAGAAAATCAAGGTTTGAAAGAAACATTTCAAAGCCTGGAACATAACAAACCTTTTATGTCTTCCGATTGGTCATGGATTCTGACTGTGTTACTAAATGTTTTGTGACAGCAGATTGTTGACAGCACTTTAGATTTAGAAATGGCCTTCCATTTATAGTTGCCACTTCTGGCTGAAATAGGAACGCCGTAATTGGCATTTTCCCTCAGCACGGAAGGGATCTCTCTCACCTCTGCCGAGGTGAACTAAGGCAAAACAAACATCCTTTCCCACAATACCTTCCTACTCTGTTGTTCAGCTGTAGCCTCTCAGAACTGTCGGTGTTGCCTCCTAGGGCTCCTGTATCAGGAATATCGAGATAAATCCACACGCCAGGAGATTGAAACCAGACGACTGCAGGATTCACAGACAGACCCTGAGGAGAGCTCGCCCAGCGAGGAAACCCCATCTGAAGCAGAACCTAGAAGTACAACCGAAAACAAAGCTCCACCACAAATCAGCTTGCTGAGGAACTCCAACTCCAGGTTCAACTTATGGCAGGATCTTCCCGAGATCCGGAGCAGCGGGGTCCTCAGCATCCTCCAGCCAGACGAGATCAAGCTGCAGGAGGTAACGGGGGAGGGGGGGGTGGTGTTCCTTAATTGGGTTGCTGAGAGTAAATTAAGTCAAATTATTAAAATTTAAAACTGAAAAGCTTCATAGCAGTCACAGACAAGCCTTGTCCTGCTGAGTACTTCTCTGTGTTGCACTGGTTAGCACCAGTGTTTTTTTTTTGAAACTACACAGGTTTTTCTATATGCTGCTGCTGCTGGACATTTCTCTAGCGAAAAAAGAACCCTTTTCTGATTCAGTGTTGGGAGCAATTTACAAAGGGAGGGAAGGATAATGAAGAGGCTCTTGCGATAGAGGTTTTGGTACCCAGTGCACGTTAATCCTCCTCTGAAGTTACTAGCAGGATACATGCTTCCCACCAGAAATCTTAGGAGAATTCAACCGTTAACTGTAATCTGTTTTAAATGCGATGGCATTAATGGAAAGGGAAGAGATGGAGGTTGATAAGCTTCCTTATTTTTAAACATTGTTACTTGGAGACTTATGCAAAACAGTGAAAAATAATGCGAGGTATATTTGCCTTCTAGGCATACAGTGCAGTGACATCACTGTTTAGGTCATACTCTGTGAAATTTACGAGGCTGCATCAAACAGTGAAAGGAGTAGGTGGGGGGGGTAAGCTGCTGCAATCAATGAAAACATCAGTCACACAACAATTTACAGCTGATTGCTGTTTTGGGTAGCGTGGGGAGCAGGAGTGCTCTTTGTCAGCGCATGGCACCACATTTGTAGCCAGCGGTGGGGACGAACAAGCCTCGTTTCCTGTGTGATGTGTGGTGTGATACCAGCAATGGGCCTCCACAGGCTCCATCCTGTGGGTCCTACGATTCTCCTGCCCCAGGATTGCTCCTGGTGAGACCACTGTGGCAGTGTATCTGTTCAGCCCTGGCTTTGATTGTACCCAAAGTGCTGGAGAGCATCTCAGGGTGTGAGCGGTCTCCCCCAAGTTCACCAGGATTTGCGCAATCAACATCAAGGGTGTTTATACACCGGGCTGGCAAGCACAGGCTGTTGGTGTGTCAGGGTTATGGCTGGAGGTGACTAAAGTTATTTGTTGCTTTTCCACGTTCTTCTTCTGCTCGGGTTATTATTTCCGTATCAGATTTGTTCTGTTTACCTGGCAAAACACGGTAGTTCTAACTGCCAGCATTACAAACACAATCTGGCATCTGAAAAATTACAAGCTTTCCTTTTTCTTTCTGCTTCAAAATGAAGAGTATTTTACAGAGAAGCATTAACTTAAAAGTTTGCATTACGGATTTCAAAACCTGCCATTGCTGTTGAGTTATGTTCATTGCCTGTAGGTGTTTCAAGGGAAAAAATCTCTGTGCTGCTAAACCCCAACATTAAGTGTGCTGAATTTTCTTCTCTCTGCCTAAATAACAAGAGAAATAAAGCAGATGGAGATGGGACAGTGCTGCCTTAAAGAAGTGCTGTGCTTTCCCCGATGTTAGTTTATCAGAGCTGAAATTTTCTTCCTGTTTGTTCTGGGATTAGCACAGTAAGAGATTATAAAATCACTCCAAGCCAGAAAGCTGTGAAATTGGCTGAACATTGAATAGATAAAGCAGAGAATTTGCTTTGTGTGGATAGTCAAGGACAGAAAACAAGAAAGGCTGGAGAAATCACTGAGGCAATTAAAGAGAAGGTGTTGAAGTCAGCCTTGCTATAACCAAGCATGGCTTGCTCCTGCTGTGCTGGAACTGTACTCATGTGGGATGTGAACTGGGAGTCTGAGCTGTACATGAGGGCTCGATTAAGTGAATGTAGATTGTTCAGCTTCATGAAGGAGAATTGGAGGAATTTACCTGAAGTACAGAAGGGCAGCAGAAATTCTGGACTAAATGACTTAAGAACAAAAATCATACTTTTCTGACCCATTTTGTCTTCAAAGCTGTGGTAAATGCAGGACTAGAAGAAATTGCAGTTCTTCAGCCAGGAAAGGCAGAACAAGAGTATTATTTAGACCACAAAGAGGAAATATCAGTACACAAATGGAAAGAAAGTTGAAAGAAACACCCCTGTTCACAGCTAAGGAAGGGAGTACCACCATAGCTGTGATGGAGCAGGGCTTAGACAGTCAGAGAAAAAGTTGCTCATCTGCAAAATGAAAGAGACAGGAACAACAGGAGGAATCTTGTCTTTGCTATCGGCGATGACGGAAAATGACTGAGCAGGTTATCAATATAAGATAAAAAACAAGACACGGGTGTTTTTCAGGCATCAAAACAAGAAACTTGACTGGAAGAGCAATGGATGCTTGAAACATGTAATGGGAGGCAATTTGTCATTGCCCTTATCGGAACAAATGAGCCAGAAAATGGAGTTTCAGGAAGGAAAAGAAAACACACACACACAAAAAACCCCCCCAAAAACGCATCCACCCTCCAGCAGTTTCAGAAAAAAAAAAATAAAAATGTTGCAGCATGGCCCATTAGCCCTGGGAACTCAAACAGAAATCAGACAGCGATGGCCTCTCCCACACCAGCCTTTTTCATCTGAAGCAAATGTGACAGTAGCAAGATGTAAAATGACAACTAGAAGTGTCACAAAAAATGTGGGTGCAAATGCAGAAAAAGGAAGAATAAAAGAAAAAGCAAAAGACATGTTACTGACCGCAGAGGTCAGGGAAATACGAAAATTATGTGCTACTGGAATAATTATCAGAAATGACTAAGTCATTGACAGTGTAGTTTTAATTATCCAGACATCTGTTGAGCATCAAACACAGCAAAACATGAATCACCAAGGGCTTTCTTCTAACGATCTAGAAAATGTAATGATGCAAGAACAAGCCAAAAGAAATGCTGTTTGGGTTCCAACGCGGAGTCAACGTGAAGACAGAAGACATGTATGTAGCAGGAGGAACAAGTGACACACACTGTATTACATGTGATTTACGTTAAAACAAATTCTGTCACCAAGGTACCAGGCTCTGAAGAGGTAGTGATCCAGAGAGAGATGAAGAAACAACATTTAATCAGTGAAACTTCTTTCAGCATGAACCTTGAATTAGATATTGGTATGGCCTTTTTATGGCGTGGCTCTGGTTTATTCTGCTTTCCCAGTTCAGTTCTGTACCTTTCAGTTTGTCCCTGTTTTATTTCCTGCATAGTTTCTTCGTTTTGTCCTTTTCTTCTTGCTAACTGTATTGATTTTTCTTCACTGTCTTCATCTTTTATGTTTTAGGAGATTCCGAGCTGAGCGGAGCTCGTCCAAAACAATTTATTCATAAAAATAGTTTAGCAATGTATTATCAATCTTTGAACTGAACCATTTTTGCTGAGATGTATGAGCTTTGATAAAGTATTTTGCCAGGGATTATTTGGATTCGGGTCACTTTGGCGTTAGAAAAAAGGGGCAGAGACAGACTCATCTGCACCATGTGTCATGGTGTGAATTTAGATCAGAGAGCTGCTGCTCTCAAAATGCTCTTTGCTCAAGCAAAAGAGGGACTTGAACCCGGTTGTGTGCCCTGGTGACAAGGCCTCTGTGTGGAAGAGCACATTCGACAGGTAGGCACTCTTTTTTTCTTTTCTTCCATTTTCACAAAAATGCCCAGAAAATATTTATTTTCCTTCTTTGAGCAAGCAAAGCTTAGATTTCAAACCTCCAGAGAGCTCTAGTGCTGGACTTCCAGCAGTGGCCCTGTGAAGGCAACCAGCTCTGAGGGCTGGTCACAGCCAATGCCATGGCATCGGGTCAGAGCAACATCCCTCCTGGGCAAGACCAGAATTCCCCCTTACCTGGTGGTTTACATGAAGAGAGCAGGGCCATTGGGAACAGATATTTCCCATCTGTGCAATAAAACACTGTATTGTCTCAACAGAAATTTATTCCGTAGGATTACTTACTCTTGTCTTTGGTGACTCTTAATTTTTATCTTCTAAGTTTCCTTCTTAGGCTTTGCTTCTCTCTTCCTCTCTCAGTCTCTCTGCCAAAACATAAAATGATGAAAATGATCAGTATAGTTTTTACATGACTCAATTTCATGAAGTTAATGACCCAGAGGACTGATGGAATAGCGTTGGTCATGTTTCCAAGAGATAGTTCCAGACTATTTGTAAACTTAGGAAGATCAAATTACTGCAATTGACATTTAGTTCAAATTTTTTTCTAGTTATTTTTGCAATTCTGAGACCAGACGCTCATGGGCTTTTTTTTTTTAACTAGTGACTGTTTAGAGCTAGTAAAGTTCAGTTATTCCATAGAGCTCACATCATCACGTTGCGTGGTTGGCTGTTTGGTGCCAGTTTGGGAGGTTTGCAGTTCATACTTACCATTCAAAAGGGAAACAGCCGTCAGCTGTGTGGAGTCGGTACTTTGGGTCTGCAGAGGACCAGCTGGATCTCCAAAGTAAATTAAGAAAATTGTGCCTTGAACATGCTGTGGACGCTTCCAGAATCTTGTCCTGACCAATGGAGATGTTCTTTATTTTCCTAGCAGCTCCCTTAAATCAGAACCCTCTGCATTGATATTTTCACTCTGGATTTTGTTATTTCTTTAGCATGGCTTGCCCTGTGCATGTGCAGGTCTAACATCCTCTCAGTAGGGTGAACAGCAAACACACACAAGTTAATTTCTCCAAACATAGGCAGAGGGGCTTCTGCAGATCAGGAAGCAACCTTCTAGATTAAGCAAGCTGTCTTAGGGGTTTAAAGGCTGTGGTAGGATGTCAGGTCTTGACCTTGGCTGTCATGGCCATCCTGCCACCAAACCTGGCAGAAGAACAATCCTGGCTTGGAGTGTCTGGAAAGCTACGGAGGAAAATGTCTGGTGCTATCAATCCCCAGGATATCTGGAAGGGATGGACTGTCCCAGCACGTCCTGTCTTATTCCTTGTTGTGTGTTTACCTATTTCTACTTCTCCTCTCATTTATCTAATAAAAAGGTATGGTTAAAGCTGTAAGAGGTACATTTAGGGCCCAGCCAGTCATGCAGAAAAATGGGTTCTCTCTCGGGTTCACCTGTTCCCCTGGTGAAGCTGTTGGGAGAAGTTGAGCTGATACTCCTCCACTTTTCTCATTAGGAATCTGGCCTTGGAAAAACAAAACAAAACCAGAAACATCTTTTCACTCCTTAAACACCAGCTGTTCCATGTGCACTGACCAAGTACGTTCATTTCTACCCACCCCCTTTGCTCTGTCTCCCTTCTGGGGGCTGTGTGGGCAGAGCATCCTTCTCTGGTGCAGGAAGGGACCACTTATTTGACTTAGCTGCCTACTGGGAATATTTCCCAGGCTACCAACCCCGCAAAGAGATGAAATGTCGCTTCAACTGATATTTTAGCAGCTCTGGATTGAGTAATATTCCCTCCTTGGTGTGCCCATCCTCCCAGATCTCGGACTGCAGCACAGTGTCAGAAATATAACCCAGGTCTCTGTACCTCAGGTTCTTCTGTGATGCATAGTGATATTTCCACAAAAAGGCCAAAAACTCATCAGGGGAGAGTATCCAATCATTTCTTTAAAAATAATTTTAAAAAAATAAATTAAAAAACAACCCCCCTCCCAAAAAAAAAAAATCCTCAGCTAATTTGGAAGATATTTTTCTATATGCACAGCACAAGAAGTGCCGTACGTACCTGCTGCTCCGTTGGATCTCCTTGGCTCTGGCTGGGTCCTTGTCACCTGTGAGAGCCATCAGAGCATGGGGACTGGCACCAGCACCACCTGGGCAACTTCACCACCCTCCCACCCTCACCAGGGTGCAGCAGAGGAGCTGTGGGCAGCAGAGGAGCTCGGGCTCAAGGGTTGGAGCAGCTCTAGGTTCAAGGAAACAAGACTCATTGAGCGACAGCATAACCTCACCACCCTCCCACCCTCACCAGGGTGCAGCAGAGGAGCTGTGGGCAGCAGAGGAGCTCGGGCTCAAGGGTTGGAGCAGCTCTAGGTTCAAGGAAACGAGACTCATTGAGCAACAGCGTGGGCCAGCCCCAGGACAAGGAGCCCTGTGTGCACCTTCATCAAGTGGTGTCTGAAGGATTGAATGATCTTTCACCATGTTGAATTCCTTGTGAGAATCTCCAATTAATCTTACTTCATGTAACGGATTCAGTAGGCATGTAAATAATCACCTCTTTTATCTGCCTCTAAACAAAGACAACAAGCACTTGCCTGAACAGTAGGTGAACTCTGTGTGGCAACAGTGGACTGCAGCACCTGCTGTGGGCAGAAGGCTTTACATCCTCGTCTCATTAACTCATGATTTATCTCTGAACCAAACCACCAGTTTGTCTTTCTGCTTCCCCAGACCACATCCCTGGCCTGAGGAAGCCGGGCTGGAATTTGGAGTAATAGTTGAGTACCTTCATGTCTTTTTGCAGTCTTTGATGGGCCAGCCCCAGGACAAGGAGCCCTGTGTGCACCTTCATCAAGTGGTGTCTGAAGGATTGAATGATCTTTCACCATGTTGAATTCCTTGTGAGAATCTCCAATTAATCTTACTTCATGTAACGGATTCAGTAGGCATGTAAATAATCACCTCTTTTATCTGCCTCTAAACAAAGACAACAAGCACTTGCCTGAACAGTAGGTGAACTCTGTGTGGCAACAGTGGACTGCAGCACCTGCTGTGGGCAGAAGGCTTTACATCCTCGTCTCATTAACTCATGATTTATCTCTGAACCAAACCACCAGTTTGTCTTTCTGCTTCCCCAGACCACATCCCTGGCCTGAGGAAGCCAGGCTGGAATTTGGAGTAATAGTTGAGGACCTTCATGTCTTGTTGCAGTCCTTGGTGAATTGGCTATGGCCAGGGTTGATCAGGGAGCATCACTTGGGCAGTAACATCTGTATTTCCTTCAGGAGAGGGAAGACACAGGGGCTTGGAGCACCACAGCTGTGTGTCTGTATTAAGCTCTGTCCCAAGGAGCATGTGTTGCACACTGATGTGCTGGGTGTTGCACAGCCCAGCCCCTACACCATGGTTTTTCTAAAACAGGAGCGTGGACGGTGCAAGGAGACCCTCCTGGGAAGCACAATAAGCCACAAGGAGCAGAGCAACAAGCCAGCACTGTCACGATCAGCAGGGGGTTGGAGGGTGTATGGGGGCTGACAAGGGGAGTTCCCCAAAAGGGAGATGAAAGTGTAGGACTGTGACAAATGGACATAGAGGGTGCCTGGAGCAGCCTCACCTCAAATCTGAGTGACACTAAGGAGGAAGGAGGGAGCCCCTGAAGTGCTCTTACATGTGCACATGCACAAAATCAGGCTGCTTATATGTAAGAAGGACCTCATCACTCTCTACAGCTACGTGAAAGGACACTGTAGAGTGGTTGGTGCTGGTCTCTTCTCACAGGTAATTAGTGACAGAACGAGAGGGAACGGCTTCAAGCTCCAACAGGGTAGGTTTAGATTGAACATTAGGAAAGAATTTTTCACCGAAAGAGTGATAGGGCATTGGAACAGGCTGCCCAGGGAGGGGGTGGAGTCACCATCCCTGGATGTGTTTAAGGGCCGTTTAGATGCAGTGCTAAGGGACATGGTGTAGGGGATGACTTTGTAGAGTAGGGTAGATGGTTGGACTCGATGATCCCAAGGGTCTCTTCCAACCTGAACGATTCTATGATTCTATGAAAAAAGAGATAAATCTCCTGGAGAGACTCAATGGAAGGAAACGTGGTCAAACAACTTAGGAGGGAGAGAGACAGCCAGGGCTGATGGCTGAGGGAGATCTTCCCCATTCAAGTCACTATCCCGTGTGACACATGGCAAATGCCATTGGGTGCTTACCTCTCCCTGTACTCTGGGCCTGGAGAGGGGGTGCAGGGTCCATGACTCTGCACAGCACAGCACAGCACATGCAACATTATGTGGGCCTCTCTATAGAATTAGAAGGTACCTTCTGATTTCCTTGTTTCCTTCTGGATTCTCCCCCAGGCCATGTTCGAGCTGGTTACTTCCGAAGCCTCCTATTACAAGAGTCTGAATCTGCTGGTGTCTCACTTCATGGAGAACGAACGTCTGAAAAAGATCTTACACCCGTCGGAGGCACACATCCTCTTCTCCAACGTCCTGGATGTCATGGCTGTCAGCGAGCGGTAAGACAACTGCTGCTGGATTTTTGTCCAGCTGAACAGCATCGCTTTAGCTAACCTCATTTGTAGAGGGACAGAGGAGCTGACTAGGGGCAGTCTGTTACCCACTGTCTTTCCAAATTGCCCGTGGACACATTCATTCCTTTGAACCCCAAGGGCTCCTTCTAGGAACTACCTGGGACAGACAGGTCACAATTAACATGAACGCTGGGTTTCTCATCTAGCTTCCTGATGGACCTCGAGCAGCGGGTGGAGGAGAACATTGTGATCTCGGACGTGTGCGATATTGTCTACCAGCATACAGTTAATCACTTCTCCGTGTACATCACCTACGTCTCCAACCAGACCTACCAGGAGAGAGCTTACAAGCAGCTTCTGTGAGTTCCAGTGCTTGATGCTACGTTGTTTTGCAAAATCATATAGGCCACAGATTTAGCTATAATTTTGATATTTATGAGAAAGGGCTGGGTAGCACAGAAACAGGATTTCCCACTTCATGGGTTTTTCACTGCACCTATAAAAAGAAAAAAAAAAAATTAAAAGGCTTTATAGTAAGGGTGCTGTGATATAGCATGCAAGTAACATACCAAGTAAATTCAGAGCCAGTGGTTCTCAACTGTGGGAAATATTTGTGGTCCACACAGGGGAGGGGACACTTGTGAAATGGATGTATTTTTAAACTGCAAGTAGAGGCAAGAGACTGAAAGGCCAAGAATCTAACACAGCACTTTGATGACAAGAACAACCATTGCTTTTCCCAAGCTTCTCAGCAAGGCATTTGACCTACCCAAAGTTGAGTATTATTTTTTTTTTTAGAACAACAAAATTTTCTTTTAAAAAAAAAGGCCATTTTCTTCACATTCTGGTGTTACACAGACAGACATAACCTAGGCCTTAGCATGTAATCTGAGATATTTTTACAGCATTTTTCAAGTTTAGCAAATCTTCTGGTCCAGTAGGAATACTCTTACGCCAGGCTCAAAACAAAGAGTGCCCTACAAGCTTGTCTCTGGGCTGGAGAATTAATTTTTCTTCAGTTACAGTGTCCTGGATTCTTTCAGGACAGCCCATTGCACTTGCAGCACTGTATTTCTTCCCCAGAGCAGCAGCTGGTTCAAGGGAGTGTAACAAGCCCTTTCCTTTCTCTGTGCTCCAGCTTTTGGGGGGAAAAATAAAAGAAAAAAAAAACAAGCAACACTTTAAGGGGCAGTTGTTGAGCTTGGCCAACTGTTCTTTCCAAAAGGAGGGCACGTCAGGGTTCCTTTCAGTCAGAAGTGAGCAGTGTGACTGCAGAATATAAACAACTTGCCTAGAGCCACTTGGAAGCAAAGCAGCAATAGGCTGGACGTGTTGGAGATGGAAGTATTCCTAGATATTAATCCAGAGAGCAGCATTTTTTTCATCTGCAGGAGAACCTGAGCGAATTGAGAGGGATAGACTCCCTTCCACAGGCTCCTAGTTAGCTCAAAAATTTTGGCAGTGCTTGGCTGAACGTAAAGCCTGAGGTGTGTCACCCTTCCGCCCCCCAACTGGCTGTTCCTCAGACACACGCAGGTCCATTCTGCTGTAGCTCTGGCGAGTCACACTGTCACACCAGTACCTGCTGCAGCCCAGACAAACGCTTACAACAGCTTCTTTTGGATGGCTGCGAGTCACAGAGGGGCCAAGGCAGGTTTTGCACAGTTAGCAGCATCTTCTCAGCCGTGCTGCTTCTGCTAGCCAGGACTCCAGTGGTGTAAGTCCTCCTCAGGGCCTCACAGCTGCCAAGAGGCAATGTCTTTGTGGCAGCTGGGGCTTGTGAGGCTGCTCTGTGCAGCTCAGCAATGCCCTCATCTGCCCCAAACGTCGTCAGGGAAGGCCAGGACACAGCCCATGCCCTTCTCAGGCCGTATAATGAATTCCATCCTCCATCTAAGCAGGCAGGAGTAGCCAAGCTTGAGCTCTTTTGTGGCTTGTCCTTGTTCTTACGACTGTGTGGATTTCACCTTGTCACAGAGTTCCAACTGTGTAAAAATATATAATTATGCCTCTGACTCATCTACTTGGACACACACCCCATTCACACACACCTACGCACGCGGCGTATGCTGCTGAGCTAGATGTGCTCACACATGTGAACGCTATCATGGCTTGTACATTAAAAGTCTATTTTTTCCCTCCCCCAACACTATAAATAGCTCTAGATCTAAACTAAAATACACCTAGGAGCATCGAGTCCCCTCCTCCCCTCTTTTCTCCTATTGGGAGAGGCCAGGAAGATGCTGTCTCTGGGATCAAGTTGCTTTGGGGTCATCAGCCACATACCAGAGTCGCAGGCAGGGTAGCACTCAAAGCCCTGACCCTCTCTCTCTCTCTTCTCTCAGCCAGGACAAGCCAGCTTTCCGGGAACTGATCTCACAGCTGGAGCTGGATCCGAAGTGCAAAGGCCTCTCCTTTTCTTCCTTCCTGATTCTGCCATTTCAAAGGATCACTCGGCTCAAGCTGCTGGTGCAGGTAGGGTTTTGCTCCTCTCTCCCCTGAAGGTCTTCTGGATCACTCCTGGAATTTTCCGTTCCAGCAGTTGTGAATGAGGCTTAGATACAGCCATGATCAAGACTCAAGGTGAACAAAGCCTTTCCACAGAATCAGACATTCTCAACAGCTATCGAAAGAAGATTTCAGTCACTCAGAAACCATCCCCAAAATAGCACTGAGTTTGCCAGATAGCTGTTACTTAGCAAAATTGTTGAGGAGGAACTTTGTCGAGCTGCTAGAAGGGGTGGCAGCAGCCCGTCAGCCCAGCTGCCTGATGGTTTGGGTGCTGACTTGCAGATGAACAGTGCAGAACACAGGAATGCTCCCCGTGTAATGCTCTACATCATGGTGGCTTGGACCAGGCTCTGGGAGCCATCTTCCCCCTGTGCTTGTCTAAAGACTGCACTGGAGAACGTGCTTCTGGGGGGGATGAGAAAACAGCTCAGTCCCAAATGATCTTATCCCCCTGGGATTACCAATAGCGCTCTCTGTTAGTGCCAGCTTGAGCTATTTTTATTTATTCATTTATATTTATGAAATAGGAGTCTGGGTGAATTGGCTATGGCCAGGGTTGATCAGGGAGCATCACTTGGGCAGTAACATCTGTATTTCCTTCAGGAGAGGGAAGACACAGGGGCTTGGAGCACCACAGCTGTGTGTCTGTATTAAGCTCTGTCCCAAGGAGCATGTGTTGCACACTGATGTGCTGGGTGTTGCACAGCCCAGCCCCTACACCATGGTTTTTCTAAAACAGGAGCGTGGATGGTGCAAGGAGACCCTCCTGGGAAGCACAATAAGCCACAAGGAGCAGAGCAACAAGCCAGCACTGTCACGATCAGCAGGGGGTTGGAGGGTGTATGGGGGCTGACAAGGGGAGCTCCCCAAAAGGGAGATGAAAGCGTAGGACTGTGACAAGTGGACATAGAGGGTGCCTGGAGCAGCCTCACCTCAAATCTGAGTGACACAAAGGAGGAAGGAGGGATGCCTGCAATATTTCTTTTAGACATAAGGTCAGAGGGAGCCCCTGAAGTGCTCTTACATGTGCACATGCACAAAATCAGGCTGCTTATATGTAAGAAAGGGGAGCTCCCCAAAAGGGAGATGAAAGCGTAGGACTGTGACAAGTGGACATAGAGGGTGCCTGGAGCAGCCTCACCTCAAATCTGAGTGACACAAAGGAGGAAGGAGGGAGCCCCTGAAGTGCTCTTACATGTGCACATACACAAAATCAGGCTGCTTATATGTAATGAGAAAAAAAGAGATAAAGCTCCTGGAGAGACTCAATGGAAGGAAATGTGGTCAAACAACTTAGGAGAGAGAGAGACAGCCAGGGCTGATGGCTGAGGGAGATCTTCCCCATTCAAGTCACTATCCCGTGTGACACATGGCAAATGCCATTGGGTGCTTACCTCTCCCTGTACTCTGGGCCTGGAGAGGGGGTGCAGGGTCCATGCCTGTGCGCAGCACAGATGTTGTCATTAACATTATGTGGGCCTCTCTATAGATTTAGAAGGTACCTGTAGGGTAGATGGTTGGACTCGATGATCCCAAGGGTCTCTTCCAACCTGAACGATTCTATGATTCTATGAAAAAAGAGATAAATCTCCTGGAGAGACTCAATGGAAGGAAACGTGGTCAAACAACTTAGGAGGGAGAGAGACAGCCAGGGCTGATGGCTGAGGGAGATCTTCCCCATTCAAGTCACTATCCCGTGTGACACATGGCAAATGCCATTGGGTGCTTACCTCTCCCTGTACTCTGGGCCTGGAGAGGGGGTGCAGGGTCCATGACTCTGCACAGCACAGCACAGCACATGCAACATTATGTGGGCCTCTCTATAGAATTAGAAGGTACCTTCTGATTTCCTTGTTTCCTTCTGGATTCTCCCCCAGGCCATGTTCGAGCTGGTTACTTCCGAAGCCTCCTATTACAAGAGTCTGAATCTGCTGGTGTCTCACTTCATGGAGAACGAACGTCTGAAAAAGATCTTACACCCGTCGGAGGCACACATCCTCTTCTCCAACGTCCTGGATGTCATGGCTGTCAGCGAGCGGTAAGACAACTGCTGCTGGATTTTTGTCCAGCTGAACAGCATCGCTTTAGCTAACCTCATTTGTAGAGGGACAGAGGAGCTGACTAGGGGCAGTCTGTTACCCACTGTCTTTCCAAATTGCCCGTGGACACATTCATTCCTTTGAACCCCAAGGGCTCCTTCTAGGAACTACCTGGGACAGACAGGTCACAATTAACATGAACGCTGGGTTTCTCATCTAGCTTCCTGATGGACCTCGAGCAGCGGGTGGAGGAGAACATTGTGATCTCGGACGTGTGCGATATTGTCTACCAGCATACAGTTAATCACTTCTCCGTGTACATCACCTACGTCTCCAACCAGACCTACCAGGAGAACTGTTCTCTCCAAAAGGAGGGCATGACAGGGTTCCTTTCAGTCAAAAGTGAGCAGTGTGATTGCAGAATATAAACAACTTGCCTAGAGCCACTCGGAAGCAAAGCAGCAATAGGCTGGATGCATTGGAGACGGAGGTATTCCTAGATATTAATCTAAAAAAAAAAAAAAACAAACAACACTTTAAGGGGCAGTTGATGAGCTTGGCCAACTGTTCTCTCCAAAAGGAGGGCATGACAGGGTTCCTTTCAGTCAAAAGTGAGCAGTGTGATACTCTTACGCCAGGCTCAAAACAAAGAGTGCCCTACAAGCTTGTCTCTGGGCTGGAGAATTAATTTTTCTTCAGTTACAGTGTCCTGGATTCTTTCAGGACAGCCCATTGCACTTGCAGCACTGTATTTCTTCCCCAGAGCAGCAGCTGGTTCAAGGGAGTGTAACAAGCCCTTTCCTTTCTCTGTGCTCCAGCTTTTGGGGGGAAAAATAAAAGAAAAAAAAAACAAGCAACACTTTAAGGGGCAGTTGTTGAGCTTGGCCAACTGTTCTTTCCAAAAGGAGGGCACGTCAGGGTTCCTTTCAGTCAGAAGTGAGCAGTGTGACTGCAGAATATAAACAACTTGCCTAGAGCCACTTGGAAGCAAAGCAGCAATAGGCTGGACGTGTTGGAGATGGAAGTATTCCTAGATATTAATCCAGAGAGCAGCATTTTTTTCATCTGCAGGAGAACCTGAGCGAATTGAGAGGGATAGACTCCCTTCCACAGGCTCCTAGTTAGCTCAAAAATTTTGGCAGTGCTTGGCTGAACGTAAAGCCTGAGGTGTGTCACCCTTCCGCCCCCCAACTGGCTGTTCCTCAGACACACGCAGGTCCATTCTGCTGTAGCTCTGGCGAGTCACACTGTCACACCAGTACCTGCTGCAGCCCAGACAAACGCTTACAACAGCTTCTTTTGGATGGCTGCGAGTCACAGAGGGGCCAAGGCAGGTTTTGCACAGTTAGCAGCATCTTCTCAGCCGTGCTGCTTCTGCTAGCCAGGACTCCAGTGGTGTAAGTCCTCCTCAGGGCCTCACAGCTGCCAAGAGGCAATGTCTTTGTGGCAGCTGGGGCTTGTGAGGCTGCTCTGTGCAGCTCAGCAATGCCCTCATCTGCCCCAAACGTCGTCAGGGAAGGCCAGGACACAGCCCATGCCCTTCTCAGGCCGTATAATGAATTCCATCCTCCATCTAAGCAGGCAGGAGTAGCCAAGCTTGAGCTCTTTTGTGGCTTGTCCTTGTTCTTACGACTGTGTGAATTTCACCTTGTCACAGAGTTCCAACTGTGTAAAAATATATAATTATGCCTCTGACTCATCTACTTGGACACACACCCCATTCACACACACCTACGCACGCGGCGTATGCTGCTGAGCTAGATGTGCTCACACATGTGAACGCTATCATGGCTTGTACATTAAAAGTCTATTTTTTCCCTCCCCCAACACTATAAATAGCTCTAGATCTAAACTAAAATACACCTAGGAGCATCGAGTCCCCTCCTCCCCTCTTTTCTCCTATTGGGAGAGGCCAGGAAGATGCTGTCTCTGGGATCAAGTTGCTTTGGGGTCATCAGCCACATACCAGAGTCGCAGGCAGGGTAGCACTCAAAGCCCTGACCCTCTCTCTCTCTCTTCTCTCAGCCAGGACAAGCCAGCTTTCCGGGAACTGATCTCACAGCTGGAGCTGGATCCGAAGTGCAAAGGCCTCTCCTTTTCTTCCTTCCTGATTCTGCCATTTCAAAGGATCACTCGGCTCAAGCTGCTGGTGCAGGTAGGGTTTTGCTCCTCTCTCCCCTGAAGGTCTTCTGGATCACTCCTGGAATTTTCCGTTCCAGCAGTTGTGAATGAGGCTTAGATACAGCCATGATCAAGACTCAAGGTGAACGAAGCCTTTCCACAGAATCAGACATTCTCAACAGCTATCGAAAGAAGATTTCAGTCACTCAGAAACCATCCCCAAAATAGCACTGAGTTTGCCAGATAGCTGTTACTTAGCAAAATTGTTGAGGAGGAACTTTGTCGAGCTGCTAGAAGGGGTGGCAGCAGCCCGTCAGCCCAGCTGCCTGATGGTTTGGGTGCTGACTTGCAGATGAACAGTGCAGAACACAGGAATGCTCCCCGTGTAATGCTCTACATCATGGTGGCTTGGACCAGGCTCTGGGAGCCATCTTCCCCCTGTGCTTGTCTAAAGACTGCACTGGAGAACGTGCTTCTGGGGGGGATGAGAAAACAGCTCAGTCCCAAATGATCTTATCCCCCTGGGATTACCAATAGCGCTCTCTGTTAGTGCCAGCTTGAGCTATTTTTATTTATTCATTTATATTTATGAAATAGGAGTCTGCCTGCAATATTTCTTTTAGACATAAGGTCAGATAGGAGCAGGTTTTAATGAAAAAGAGGAGGTAAGAGGTGAGAGTCACTGTACTCTGTCACCTATCCCGTAATTAGGCTGATGGCCAGAAATAACTCAGAGGCTAGCAAAGACTTTTCTGTGCTGTCAGATTGGGATCAGAGTTAACACAGCCTTTCCTCCCCCTGCAGAATATTTTGAAGAAAGTGGAAGAGAAGTCTGACAGGGAAACCACTGCCTTGGACGCACACAAAGAGCTGGAAACAGTAAGTTTGAATGAGCTAACGAAGGCCATTAAGATTAAACCATCGTGCTCAGTTCCCCCCTCCAGAAAAAAACCTACAAGCTATATTCACTCCTGGAGCTGTCCCTTTGAATCCTGTCACTGTGTTTCAAGAGTAGTTTTCTTATCTTAAGCCTTCCTCACTCTCAAAGATGGACTTGTCTATCAGCACTTAGATGTCAGTGATGAGGAATCCCTTGCTAACAACAGATGTGTATGTTTCCACTGTAGGAAAGGGCAGAGAGAATGTTTTCCCTCGGGGTCCTCCATGAATACAAACTGTTTTTGCAGATACCTGAAGGTGATGGATCCCGCTGGGACGTGTAATTAGCTGCAACAGGCAGCAGAGTACAACTATGTCAGGTTTCCTCCAATACAGCACACTGCTTCTTCTGACCTAGAATAACAGTTTCTTAATGAAGTACTCAAGCCTGCTTTTAGCCCTCTCTCTCCCTGAAGCTGGTGTTCCGTTGTGCTAGTTACTGCTGTGTACAAAACACCAGGAAGACATTGGCATGTTTTCCATCTGGGCTGCTCCTGCCGTGGTCAAACAGGGCGATCCCACCTCCTGGTATCTGAATGATCTGGACGTAGCTGGTGGCTCTCTGGGCTGGGACAGAGTGGTGGAACCCTTCTCTGGCAGAAGCTTGGAACACCTCTTGAATCCTGCCATTCAACATAAGCATTTGAAATGGAAAACTTTGATAGAACGTCAGTGTGAGGATATGGTTGCAGCTTCTGATGGAAACACCAGAACAAAATGGGCTCTTGGATTTGGCCTGAACTAGTCTAGGAGGTGTACGCTTTGGAGATCACTAGGGATAAAGACAGAGACCTTAGCAACGAAGCATGCTCTGCATTAGTTAGTATTTGCAGGATCCTTCATGGTGTATCTGGTAGCCAACTGCTTTTCCATTGGTCAAAAGCCTGAGGAGAGCTGTTGCTTTAGTATGCAGATGACTACAACTGCTGATGGAAAAATGCTCTTTCTATATTCAGCTGCCAGTGACTCGTGATCAATTTCATAACTCCCTTTGCATGGTTACTTATCTGAAAATGTTTTAAGTTTAGATGGCTACGTCCAGCTGGGTGCAGGCATCACAGCAGAGACCATCTGGTGGCTATTTTCTTTATAGGTGTCCTATTTGATAGGTAGGAGCCGATCACTGTTTCAGTTGCTGATATCCTGGTGGATTTTGAGTAGCAGAGACAGAGCACAAAGCAGAGCTTGTTCTCCAACGTAATTTTTCTCCCTAGCCAGTTCTCAAGAGAGTTGCTCCTTATGAAACAGGCAGTGGCATCTAGGTTAAGGTCCCTGTAATAGGGTAGTGCCTGCGCTTTGGTTGTGGTTTTTCAGTTCAAAGTTTGTACTCAGAACACAGCTGGGCTCTGTGTGATGAACGTCTCCTTCCCCGGGACGTTTCAGAGCCTTAGCATCTGGTGCTGCTTGGCAGAACCACAGCTTTTTGCTTCTTCAAAGTGAGGATTTTTGGCTTCTTTCTCTTCTCGAAGATGATACTGCGCCTCTACCTCGTTTCAAGTGTTGAGGACGAGAAAGATGAGATATGGGGTTTGTCAGGATCTGGCAAACGAGCTGTTCCCTTTGCCCAGGGAACAACCAGGAGCATTGCTTAATACTGTCTGCTTCGGTAACAGTGCAGCCATTTAACATGTCCTCTGATAGCCAGCTTCCAGCTATAACATCTTCTGGGTGTTTTGGGGGTTTTGTTGGGTGTTTTTTTTCTTTTATTTTTCATGCAAATGCAGCACTGGCAGAAGAGCTTGGTTTGGTCAATTCCTGTACTTACCCTGTCACAGTCAGGCCTTTCTCTGCTGTCAGTCCCTGTCACAGTCAGGCCTTTCTCTGCTGTCGGTCATCACTTCCCTGCTTAAGGCCAGTGGAGGCAAATCTTTCCACTCTTATTTTTTCCCAGGTGGTGAAAGCATGTAACGAAGGTGTCAGGAAGATGAGCCGAACAGAGCAGATGATCAGCATCCAGAAGAAGCTGGAATTCAAGATCAAGGTATGAGCATAGGCTGGTAACCCTTTGCAGACAGTGAGCCAACAGTATCTGGGCGTTGTGTGCATGGACATGGCAGCAGTAACTTCATTGCACTCCTTTTAGCGAGTGTTTGGTGATGGCCTGGTCCACGCTGTCCCCCTTCAAAGCCTTTGGCTTTTCCCTCTCACCTCTCTTCAAAATCTAGGTCAGCTTTCAGCCATTATTTTACATGACAAATGACACGAAAAGAAAATGAAAGCTACAAAGCAAAATGCTTCAAAGACAGAAAATACCATAAATGAAGACTGTCCCACCATTTTGATTCATCTCTGTGTTTATACGTTATGTACAGTCTCTAATTACCTGCTGATGATCTATTTTGGCTCCACTCAGGGAATGGCTGAGTCAATATTTAGGGGTGTCTGACCAGATCTCATTTCATATATGCTGTGAAACTCCAGCGCTAAGTAGAATGTTGCCATTTCTTTTCTTGAGCGCTACGGAAATGCTTCTCAGATCTGTCTGCTTCACACATTTTAAGGAGGATATTTAGCTCCCCAGTAACATTTTACGTACCTGGACAACCAAAGCAAAGAAATTTAGAGGCTGGGCTTCTGAGAATTCGATTTTCCAGAGCGCTTTATGAGTGTGTGAGGGCTAGACCACAGACCAGAGCACAGAGGTAGATGGTGGTAGCCACAACACTTGTGAAGTAGCCACTCTTGTGAAGCTGAGGCTGTAGTGACAGGCAGGAGCCAGTTTGTCCCTGCAGCAGGTCCTCCTTAGGCACTGGTGCAGGCAGGGCTCCTCTGCTGAAAGAGTGTGGAAGGAAAGACTGTGCCACCGGGCACCTGACGGACACAGGGAGGGAGTGAAGGTGGAAGGAGTAGCAGTAAAGCTGATATTTTCCAATAGTTCAGTCATTTGACTGGAAGCATAGTGTTCTTCTGATACAAGATGTGCTTTGTTCTGGGCTTCTTGTTTTTAACACGAGTAGTAAAACTCTAGGAGAAGTGCTGTGGTGGCTGCACGGGCAGTGTCTTCTCCTGGCTGGGACAGACCCGACCAGTGAGAACCCATTTAACCTGGGTTTTTTGTAGCCAAAAAGCCAAGTACATGTTTTTTGAAAGTCAGTCTCCTGGACCTGGGGTTCCCCCAGAGACAGATCGGGCTGTGCAGGGTGTAGCCTGGTGTTTGAATCCAGCACTTGGCACTCCAGCTTCACAGTCCTGGAGTGTTTCTTCATTCTGGCTGAGCTCTGTTACACCCTGTGCCAGGCTGTGGTGGGGATGGTGGAGCACTCTGCCCTCTCTGTCCTCCTCTGCAAGGGGTGGTGATGGGACCTCACTGTGCTTCCTTCTGCGTCTCCTGTTGCTTTCAGCATCTTGACCACATAAGCCCATGGGTTTTTTTGCTGCTGTTTTCCTGATCTTTGCCATCTTTTCCTCACATCTAGTCTGTGCCCATCATCTCTCACTCACGCTGGCTGTTGAAGCAAGGGGAGTTGCAGCAAATGAATGGGCCAAAGACATCACGAACACTTCGCACCAAGAAGCTCTTCAGAGAAATCTACTTGTTCCTTTTCAATGATCTGCTGGTCATTTGCCGGCAAATTCCTGGGTGAGTGCAAGATGTGGGTGGTACGTGGGGTGCTTCGTTAGTCCTGTTGGTCCCTGGGTTTAACCAAGCTGTGATGCTGTGCCCCAATCCCCCAGGCACGGGGAGGGCATCCTGGCCTGATCTGTACTCCCCCCTCCAGCAGTCACCTTGCCTCGGAGCACAGTTGACTCTTCGTGGGTGGTACAGCTCTCTCCAGCTGAAAATTTGTGGCAAACAGGACTTGGAACAGATTCCAGGCCAGGTCTCCCAGCAGGGTGAAGGAGCAGGTGTCCTTCTGCAGGGTGGCAGTGAGCTGCGTCCACTGGTGGGCTGGCCCAGGAGGCCTGTCTTCCTGTCAAGAAGTGATTTTTTGACTCATCCCTGCCTGAAGAACAGCTCAGGCTTAGTCAGTTAAACTTCTAAGAAAGCAGGCTAGAAAAATCTGAGCAGCAGGGAGGGAGTATAAATCCAGGCCTGAGGCTAGCGGTTGTATTTGACATGGCGTAACCTGCCTCAGGAGGAGGAGGACGTCATCACACTTAGGACGAGGGTCTTGTGCAACCAGACACGAGTGAAATACAGCAGCACAAACAGACGGGTCCCGGAGAACAGCGCGTTCTTTGTAGCATTCGCTGGGCTCACCGGTAGAGAGCATCTTGCTGGTCCAACCTTTCTAATAAACATGTCGCCGCAGTGTCTGTACGCCTGGAAATATTTTGCTTCTGCGGCAGCCTGCATCCAGAAAACACAGAGGCGTTTTACAAACAGGAATGAATTAAACCTCACAGTCCCCTCGGAGGGAGAACTCCCTGTGTTTTGTACCTGGGGAGCTCAGAGAGAGCGAGAAGCTTGTTCTAGGCCGCGCGGGGTGCCAAAGGCAGAGCAAGGAGATGGTCTCTTGCTTTGAGGTGGGTTTTCGTAGCCACCCGCTCATCCCTGCCCACAGCAGAGAAACTTTTATCCTCCTGCCATACAAAGCTTCCTGGTCTGTGTCCCGAGGACAGTTCTGGGTGGCTGAAGCCAAAGCCTCCTGGGATAACTGCAGTTTTTCCTAATCTTCTAACCTCTCCTAGGGACAAGTACCAAGTGTTTGACTCAGCTCCCCGGGGGCTTCTTCGGGTAGAGGAGTTAGAAGACCAGGGGCAGAGTTTGGCCAACGTCTTCATCCTGAGGCTGCTGGAGAATGCGGACGACCGGGAGGCCAGCTACATGCTGAAGGCATCATCCCAGTGAGTACAGCAGCCACCCTGCCTGCCCTCAGCTCTGCTCTCTCTCTCCTGGGAGGGTCCCACTGCTCACCCTACAAGCCCTCTCTGCCTGGCACGGCTCTCCTGAGGCTGCCTTTGGTCTCTCTGACCCAAGGCACTAGTGAAACCAGGCAGGTTTCTCTCCTGTACCATCTATCTGTAGCATCCGGGGTGGAAGATGGACGGGTACTTTGGATGCTGGGGTAGAGAGGTCAGAAATCAGTCCTGGCACAGGAGTCTAGCTAATTTACAGCCTGGACCACACACAGAAAGTAAAAGCAAGCAGGATACACGCTGTGCACGCTCCAGCAGCTCAGCTGGCTCCCCGCAAACATCAAGGCCCTGCCTGACCAGCCCCCTGAAGCAAAGTGGCTCCTGCCCGTAGGCAAAGCTGGAGAAGATACCTCTTCCTCAGCACCTTCCACAGCCGGCGCCGGTCTCACACAGCCCTTCTGCTGCTCCTTGTCTCCCTGGATACAAGGTTTTTTTGCCTCAGTGATTTTTCACTTCAGGCTCCAACAAGCTCAGACCAGGCAAATGATTGAGCTGCGCTAACACGGACCTGATTGTTTCAGAGCTCGGGGCATGGCTTTCTCATTGACCCAAGCCTTACCAGGCCACGGTTTGTAGGCACAGTGTCTGTGCTGTTACAGGTGTACAAGCACCACCAGCTAAACAGCAACCAGAGATGACACACACCCCCCAGCTCGATGCTACTTTGCTGTCAGTCGGCCAGCATTCGACATCCATATCCCTTAACAAAGGCCAGCCCCAGCTGGGACCACATCCTGCTGCCCACCCTGACCCCTCCCCAGGGCAGAGCAGCTCGGGCAGCAGGAAGACGAGCCCCCTGCACAGCGAGGAACCTCACCTTCTCCCCAGACACGCGACTACAAGCTTTGCTGTGCCCAAAATAGAGATGTCAGTCACGTTATGCAGGGCAAGCGCACGTTTGACGTCTGTGAGGCTGAGCTGTGCAGAGAATGATAAACCAGGGCAGGGTTTGCCCCAGCTCAGGGGAGGGGGTGGCAGTTCTGTGCCTCTGCATCCTGACCTGGCCCTTCTAGGTGGCCACAGCAAGCCTGTGGTCCCGTGCACAGGTTGCCAACCGGTCTCACGCGCTGAGGGGTGATGAAGGCTGAAGGCCACTCTTCCAAAGCTGCAGGGATGATGGGGGCACAAACTGGAAAACTGGAGAATTAGAAGAGAGAGAAGTGGGTGCCGAACAGGCACAGCTGCATCTGTTCCTCAGCTCCTGCAGCCATTTCCCAGCTCTGAACCCGTAGAGCAGCCATGACCTGCTTGGTGGCAGCTTGCAGCTGATGCCCTGGGTGGGCTCCACCAGGAGCTGGGGGTGCATTTGGACACAGCTGGTGGCAGGGGCAGGACTGGAGCTGAGAGGGACTGAGGGTGTTCACTCAACGGGCAGCTTTCAGGTGTTTTCACTGGCCCTTGGCATCAGCCTTCAGCCCCAAAGCACAAGGTATTCCCAGCCTTACAGATCAGCCTGACAGCACTCGTCCTTCACGTCTCCCTTTCAGGCCTCCCTCCTCCCAGAAGACGCTCTGGTGGCTTCAGATGTGTGTCAAGTGCAGGCTTTAGAGCTACCAATCTGAGAAGGCAGAGAGTTGTGTCTCCCCCGGGGCCGGGAGCACGGCTGCTCCCCCAGGCAGGAGCTGGAGCCCGTGAAGATGCGCTGCCCCATTTCGGAGTGGGGCTGAGGGAAGCCTGGAGGGAGGGACAGGGCCTGGGGCTTCCTCCAGCGACGGCTGCTCCCCCAGGCAGGAGCTGGAGCCTGTGAAGATGCACTGCCCCGTTTCGGAGCGGGGCTGAGGGAAGGGACAGGAAGCCTGGAGGGAGGGACAGGACCTGGGGCTTCCTCCGGCACCTGTGAAACCTTCACCCACCCTCCTGCTGCAGGTTTTGCCTCACAGCGTGCTGGATCTGGCAACGTGTCCTCATGGGCCTGTTGTCTCACCCGCTGCCAGGCGAGCAGTACCCTGGGTATGCCGCAGCGCTCGTCTGCAGGAGAATTAATCAGCTCTGTCCTTTAAACGTTCCCGCATGGCAGCTGCAAGAATAAATGGTTCCTTTAACTGCTTTTCTCCAGGAAGAACCCCTCCTATTGACCCAGCTCAGCCAGGAGCTGCCTTTGCTGGTTAGCCCTCGGGGGATGCCAGGCCCCCCACACCTGGATGCTGGTTTCTCTGAAGCTGGGCTGCTCCCCAGAGGGGCATCGTGCTGCTTGGGGGGACAGCCAGCATGGGGACCTGCAGCAACAGGGCACAGAGCACTGTGACACGTGTGACCTCCCAACCCCAGTGTCCTAAAAGGGGTCTCAGCATCACCAATGAGTCCAGGACCCCAGGGGACAGGCAGGAAAGGGCTCTGAGAAGAGGAATTAGGAGCCTGGGGCAGGCAGGAAAGGGCTCTGAGAAGAGGAATTAGGAGCCTGGGGCAGGCAGGAAAGGGCTCTGAGAAGAGGAATTAGAAGCCCAGGGCAGGAGAGCTGGGTTCCCTACAAACGTCCTCATGGCTTCTCTTTGTCTCCCCTATCCAGGAGCGAGATGAAGCGCTGGATGATTTCTCTGGCTCCGAACCGAAGAACCAAGTTCGTTTCGTTTACATCCAGACTTGTTGGTAAGAGACAGAGCGTGGGAGCTGGGAGCTCTTCCCCCCTACCCCAGGGCACCTTCTTCCACCCCTGATCTCACTCAGCCCCAGGCCTGGGGCCTCTGCCAAACCCTCTCCCTGGGCTCCCCTTGTGTTTCCACCATCGATACCCACTCCTCCTTGGGCCTGGTGCTCTCTTTGCTCCCCTCCAACCCGGGCTGGGCTGCAGCAGCTCCTCCTCCCACCCAGGCTGCTCTTGGGGTGGCACCGTGGTGGTGATGTGCACCCAGCTCCCTTCCCCACACAGATGCTTCCCTGGCCCCTGGGGCACCCCTTGGCCTCTGGGGGGGTTTCTTACCAGAGCAGAGCTCACGGTGCTATCTCGTGGCGGGCTCTGTCCCCCTCCGTCCCTCACTCCCACCCTGTTTCCTGGCAGACTGTCCACAGATCCAGTGTGTCCACCCATACGTGGCCCAGCAGCCGGATGAGCTGTCCTTAGAGCTGGCTGATGTCCTCAACATCCTGGACAAGACAGACGACGGTACGGGGGATGGGCTGGGGCTGGGTGGGAGTCCCTGTGCGAGGGTGGGGAACACCGTAGGCAGGTGGCTGTCAAGGTCCTCCTGCCAGGAGAGACCCTGGCGTCGGCATCACAGCCGAGAGGGCTACTGCCTCCTCCTAAAGCTCAGCAAATCCAGGCTGCCCTGAGCCATGCCAGGGCTGGCACAGCCACCCCGGGTGTAACCGAGAGCTCTTCTTACCTTGATGATGCTTCACAGCCGCCTGGTCCTGGTCTCTGGGGGGGCACTTGTCACTGGTGAGCTCAGTCTCTGCTGTGGACCACTCCTGGGGCATCAGGGCCAGTGCAGAGCACTCAGGGGGCAGCAGTGCCTGCTTTCTGCTGGCCAGTTGACCAAACACAGTGCTGCTCAGGTGAGCGGGCCTCCTTGGCTAGATTTACAAACTGGGTCTGCTCCAGCACAAGCCTCTGAGCAGCTTCCAGAAAGCACTGCCAGCTCCATGGGCTCTTCCCAGCACCACTGGCACAAGGGCTGCTCCTTCCCCATTGATGCCTGTCTCTGTCTCTGCTCAGGCTGGATATTTGGGGAGCGTCTTCATGACCAGGAGAGGGGCTGGTTCCCCAGTTCTATGGGGGAGGAGATCCTGAACCCCAAAATCCGAGCCCAGAACTTGAAGGAGTGTTTCCGGGTGCACAAGTCGGATGACAGCCAGCGGAGGAAATTGGGCAGCAGGAACCGCCAGTGACCGATGTCGTCCCCGCGCATCCGGAGCGCCTCTGGGAGCAGGGCAGAGGATGCCAGCTGGGAGGAGGAGGTGGTGGTGGTGGTGGCACCGTGGACCGTGGTGCAGGACCTGGCACACGCACCCCTGAACAAACAGACTGTAGCTCCTGGGCTCCCCACTGCGCTTCCCCCCGCACCGATCCTTCCCTGGAGGGTCAGTGCTTCGAACTGGCTAAAATAACCCCTTTCCAGGTATTCTGTAAAGCCCCAAAGAGCACGAGCCAAATGGAACACAACCCAAAGGCCACCGAGTGCCGGCCAGCTGACCCCCCTTCCCTGCACGCCTGCTGGCTGGAGCCGGGTCCGGCCACCTGGGAGAGGCACGTGGCCACAGATGTCACCAAGCAATTAACATCACCCGATTTGAGCCCTTGCAGCTCGTCGCTGCCTTTAGAGTTTGGGGCCCTCCTACAACTGTTTCAGTTCCTACCCCTGTGAGATGCAGAGGGGTTGTCTCGCCGCCCCAGGCTGGGACAAGCCCTGGGAATTCCACCTCCCCAGTCCTGCTGCAAAGCCGGTGGGGCCCATTCCCCATCTGCTTCCAAGCCCAAGGCTCCAAAATGCTCCGTGCCCAAGCCCCACTCCACCAGCAGCCCAACCTCGCCAGCCCCGGACCCACATCTCTGCAAGCTCGAGGGCCTCCAAGCACATCTGGGCCCTGCCCCACGGCTCAGCCCCCTCTTCCACCCGTGCACCACCACCCACCACGGGAGCACCAGCAGACCCCAGCTGCCACGGCAACAGGACGGTGTGACGTTACCCCCCTCGCCCGGAGCTGTTGTCCCACCACTGCTGCCTGCATGCTCGTACCCCACACCACCTGGCTGCGCACACCAGCTGTACAGTCGTGCGCACAACCCCTGTACAGGCTCACCTCCCCCTGTATACGCACACCCTGCCGTCGTCAGCGCAGACGCGCCGTCACTTCTTTCCGGCTGTGGCACTGAGCATCGCATGAAGCCCAGGGCACAGCGCTGAGACCGGCCGGGAGACGGACCCACGGCAGCCGCCTGTTGCTCAACTGCCTTGCTCCCAACAGTCCCACCTGTGGCCACAGCCTAAAGGGCTTCCTCAGCCACAGGGCTGTTGCCGAGCTGTCAGGGAAATGGATCATTTGGCCATCATTCCGTTAACGCTGCGAAGGAGAGTCTTCCAGGCGCTGTGGCCTGCGCTGCTGTATGATTGTGCTCGAGAAGGGGGTGGAGAACAGCCGCTGATGGAGCCGCACACCAGCCACGGAGCACCACCTCACTGGTGGCAACGTGGGGAGGAAGCAGGACATTGGGGAGAAGGGGCGTCTGGGGCTTGTCTTTGAGCCATCTGGGCCCAGGTCACCGGTGGGGTGGGTGGTGTGAGGCCAGACCCAGCTGAGGGAGGGCCAGGGCTGTCCTTGGGGCTGTCCTTATTGTCACCACAGCCCTGGGACAACCGGCCCAGAGTCAGCCCTGCACTAGGGGTGCTGCAGCCAGCCCCTGGGACCAAACTGGTGGGAGCTGCAGTGAAGGGAGAGCGAAGGCCTTCCCCCAGCTCAGTGCCACCATGCTTGTATGGGACAACAGCCAGTGGGGCTGTACCTGCCCAGGCCACCTGTAGCACCCCAGGGAGAGGGACCCGGGAGAGCTCACACCAGCCACCTCCCAGTGCCCACCCCAGAGCTGGGGGCCAGAAAGGAACCACAGCTTCCAGTCTGGTGGGGCAGGCTCATTTAATGGGGACACCCCAGGTGGTCAGCCCCCCCTCCACCTCCAACAGCACCCCACAGTCAGTACAAACCAACCTCCAGCTCAGGGTCCAGACCTTGCAGCAGCCACAGCTTCTCCGATGCAAAACCCCGGGGAGCTCCAGCTCTCAGAAATCTTTAAAATTGCCTGAGGAATCGCCACATCCCGGACCCTCCAGCTTCCCAGCCCGACCCAGGCTCTACAGCCCCACGTGGCCACCTGGGATGTCCCTCATAGCACAGAAACCCTCCCTTTAATGCACCAGAAACGGCTCTGTCACTCATGGGGCAGGGTTGGGGGGGCTGACCCAGGTCCCCCTGTGCCAGGACACCAGTTCCTCACCGTGTTCCTCCAGCGGGGGGGAGGGAGAGGGGCTCAGGGCTGCCGTGGAGCCCCGGGACTCCCCCTGCCCCTTCTTGCTCCGTCGTTGACTTTTCAGGACTCTGACCCCCCCAGGCACAGGCTGTGCCGTTTTCGGGCACCACGTGGCCCCCAGTGTTATGTCCTCAGACCCAGCCCTGCACGCCTGCCTCCGTTCCAGTGGTCTCCAGTCTTGTACAGGGCCAGGCCTGGGGCCCAACAAGCCCCCACATCGGGCTGCAGCCCCCCCCACACCCCAAACCCCTGTCAGGCTGCCTCAGCAAACTGAGGGGAACTTCTCGTTGTCTCCTTTTGGGTTTGTTTTTTTTTTTCTCTCTCCGTGTGATGAAATATAGCTGAGCGAGCCAGCGCCAAAGCAACACGCCTCTGTCTTCTTCCTCCCATCCCCTCGCCCCCCAACACCCCCCTCCAGCAGGACTGGTTGGGGGGGAAACCAGCCCAAACGCAGCGGGGGTAGAAGTGGAAGCTTGAACATCACCCTGAGGGTGAGACCAGGGCAGCGTCGGGGTGGTTGACACCAACTGAACAACAACCCTTCCCAAGGAAAGCTGTGCGAGGTTGATGCCCAACACCGTTACCACCACCCAGGGTAGACCCAGAGGGCTGTTGCCAACCCATAGCCACTGCCTGCTGTGGTGGAGCCCTGCCAGGTGCCAAGGAGATGGGGTGGTAGGAGCAAAGAGCACTTTGGGGTGCAGCTTGGCTGGGGTGGCCTTTGCCACATGCCGGGGGGTGGCACGGGAGCAGTGGAGGGCAGGAGACGGGGCTGTTTGTGGTACCAGAAGTATCTTTTATTGCGTTCAGGAGGCAGAGAACTTTCTCAGCGTGATGACGACCAAGGCCACGAGCACAGAGGTACCCAGGAGGGAGGCGATGACAATGGCACCGATAGCTCCGGGCCCCAGCGAGCCTGCAGGGACAGAGAACAAGGCGGCGCGAGGTCAGCAGAGATGGGGGGTGCCGGGTGGGAAGGGACCCCCACACCCAGCACGTCCCCAGCCATCTGCTGTCCCAGAGCCCCCTCCCTGGCCATGGTGGCCCTCTTCCCATGGTCCCGAGTCCCAGCAGCGTGGAGCCCTTGGGCAGGGGGCTGGAGCCAGCCACTTGCCCCCCCCCGTAGCCAGGTCCTGGAGATAAGGACAGCTGCCATAAAGGGAGTCCTTGGTCCTCAGCTTCCCTGTTAAAACACCCACACTGGGAGAGCTGCTTTGGTTGTTGCAGAACCGGGTCACAACAGGCACCTGCTGTGGTTCAGGAGCCAGGAAAGGTGCTCACGCTCCCCATTTCAGGGGCTCCGGGCATGCTCTGGTCCTGGAGCTCACCTGGACTCCTCCTGTGGTGTGTCAGACCCGGGGCAGGAGGAAAGACCTCAGCAGCAACCCCCAGAGCAGGGTGGCTGGGGACGGGCCACCTCTGGTGGCTCAAACACACCTCCTGGGAAGTGATAGACCCGTAAAGAACAGCTCCAGAGGGAGGAGGTCCCGGAGTGAGCCGTACGTACCGTCCCCGGCGTCCAGCCGGTGCAGGTGGGTGGTGTCCTCGGGCTCCAGCTCGGGGGTGTACGGGGGGAAGGCGGTGGCATCCGAGAGCCGGGCCGTGGTGGTGGCAGCGTCGAAGGGGCCACCTCCGGAGGCCAGCTCCGGTGGCTCGTTCCAGAGGGTGGGGACCGGCCCCTGCGGGTACTCTGCTGGGAGAGAAAGCACCCACGGTCACTCAGGGGGCACGGGTGGCCACGGCCAGGCTGTTGGTGACAACGGCAGCTTGGGACAGGTACAGCTCAGCAGGGCTTCAGCTGCCTGCCAGGTGTCCCTGGGGTGGATGGAGGGTGACCTGGTGGGGCAAAACCCTCCAGGAGGACACCACCTCCGCAGAGCACCAACACCCAGAGCAGCCAAAGGCAATGCCTGCGTCTGGGGTGAAACTACAGGATTTTGTGACAACCTTGGTGTACACACAACACACATGGGGACAACAGGGAGCTCCCCGCAACCGTGCGACCTCCGCTTGTGCACAAACAGGCTCTGAGGAACACCCACGGCCAGCTCGCTCCTGGATGCCCATGGGACTGGGCTGGGAAGGGCTGTCACATTCCTGCAACAGGCAGAGGCCGCCTGTGCTGGCCACGTTGAGAGCATCTCAGGGCCTTTCTGTCCCGCACCCCCATCCTGGTGGGGTGTAGGACACCAGAGGCTCCCCCAGGCAGGAGCCCCAGGAGCCTGGTGGGAGCTCTGTTTGATGTTACCCATCAAACCCCATCACCTCCTGTTATTCCTTCCCGCTGTGGGGTCGGGGCCGGGAGCAGAGAGCCCTCCCTGTCTGCGTGTGGCGGGGCCCTCTCAATGCCCGGCTTGTTTCAGGTGGGCCCCGGCGGGAGCGGGAGACATTCCACAGCTCCCTGCTGAAACTGCCAGGAATGTTGCACCGGGATGGGGGAAGAGAGAGAAAAAAAAGAAAAGAGGGGAGGAAAACGAACAGCATCCACCCCCAGGGCCCACCTGAGCCGACAGGGTGGTCATCAGGGCTGGGAAAGAGGGCATCCGAGGAGCCAAAGCTCCCTGGGGCAAGGGACAGAGGTGTCCCCAGGCACCCCAGCTCTGGCATGGTGTCTATCGCTGCACCAAGAGCCCTCAAAGACTTGTCCCAGGCTCTCCCTGGCCCAGCCAGGGAGGTGGCAGCAGCACATCTTGGCAGCACCAACCCCAGCTTTAAGTACCTGGAGCCCTCCGTGCCTCCCACAAGGTGCCACCTGCCCACGGGAGGAGAGCGGGGTGAAGGATCGGCCCTGACGGGCTCCACCACGCTGTGTTCTCCTGTAGGAGCCCTGAGTCAAAAGGAACAGGAGGAGCAACACCCACACAGTCACCTTTACTCCTGTACAAACCCACCGATGGGACTTCCCACATCAAAGAGTAGCTCCCACCAACTTAGGAGCAGGACAGGGTTCTAGACTAGTTTTGGAAAGTCCTTTCTACAGCCACAAAAGCGACAGGATTTCCAGCCAGGCAGACGCCAGGTTTAGCTCCAACCCAATCAGCAACGAGACAAATAATTCCCCAGTTTGAGGCTGGTGCCAGGGGGGTCAATCTCGTCTCCCAAGTCACAGGAGATGGGAAACGGCCTCAAGTTGCGCCACAGGGAAGTTTAGATTGGATATCAGGAAGAATTCCTTCATGGAAAGGGTTATCCAGCATTGGAATGGGCTGCCCAGCAAAGTGGCTGAGGCACCATCCCTGGAGGTGTTCAAAAGACAGTTGACATGGTCCTCAAGAATATGGTTTAGCTCACCCACCCGAGGAGCAGCAGTGAATCCCGTCCTCACACGCTTGGTCACTGCATCAGAGGTGGCCATCTCAGGTCCCTGGTGGGAGCACACGAGGGGTTTGTGCTCCACAACAGCTGCCCAGAAACACCCAAGCCAGAATCACAGAATCACCTAGGTTGGAAGGGACCTTTAAGATCATCTAGTCCAACCATTTGGAGGGCCCTAACCAACCTGTCCAACCAACAGCAAAACTGGAGACTCCATCCCCATCCAGAGGCTCTTCCAGTAAGTGCCATTTCCAGTGGACCTCTCTCCTGTAAATCCTGTGGTTTGGCTACTGGGGGACAGATCAGGAGGAAATACAGAATTTAGTGGGTCAATGGAGTTAAAACAAGAGGGAAAGGAACCGAGCGGAGCTGGGCTCCTCAGTCAGCGGTGGTGGCATCAGAAACCTGCTGGTTTAGGCACAAACCAAACGTTCATAAAGGCCTTTGAAGGCCTGGCTGCCGTGGCAAGTGGAGAAACTCCACACGGAAGAGCTACGCTCCCGCTACAACCTTCCCGACTGTGTCAACACCCCCAGGGCCAGCACCAACACTGCAGCCGTGCCCACCTGGCAAGAGAACACCCCGCTGGGAGGACGTCCCAAAAATACCCAGAGAGCTGGGTGTACCCCTGGGATCTGCCGGGGGACAGGCCTTAGCTCACACAACCCGTAACCCATGCGGGCACCGTCCCGGGAGGCTGTAGGACCTGGATGCAGGACTTTCCAACTCCCTGTTCTCAAATGGGTGAGGAGGGAGCACTGCCCCTTCCAACCGTAGCCAAAAGGTGCTTTTTTCTACCCAGACCCACGGGTCTCGGAAAGCCTCTCCTGTCCCTGACGCATCTAATCCCCCCCAAAATTTATTGCAGCTCCCTTCAGGCAGAGCACAGAGCACATTTCTGACAGCCAAGTAAAAGGGAAAACTGTCTAATTTGTTTATGATATTGGCTTTTTTTTAAACCTGGACAGAGTCCTGGACAGCTTCTGGAGATGGTATTCTGTTAATTCCTCCCCCTCATCTGATTAAAACACGCTTTTCAGCTCACCCTGGCAGAAAGGGCAGGGTGTGCTCAACGTGAGTTTTCCGTCCCGAGCCCTTGTGGTTTTTCCCTTTAACGGCGCTTCCACCGAGGGACACACAGCTCCTTTCAGCCAGGAGCGCTGCCTGGGCCACGGCAGCAGGGTCCTGCAGATGCATTAAGGAGAAAATATCTACCTCTTAACATCTCCCAGAGCCAGGGCCCACCGCCGGCTTCTCCTCCTGCTTTCCTGCTCCTCGATGCTGCTGGAGCGGACGCTGAGAGCCCCACAGCGGGTGGTGGGACACAAAGCCCAGCGGGCAGGACTCTCCAGAGCCTGTTCGTAGCCAGAGCTTTTCTTTCCAAGACTGGCCTTTGATTTTTCCCTCCCAAACTAACAGCTCGTGTCCTCACGTGCCTCCGTTTCCCCCTGTTTTAGAGAAGCAGCCCAACGACCCATCCCCACATCTGGATTCTTCAGCAGCCAGGAGGAGTGACACCCACTCCCCTCCCCAGCACCCCCAGTGAGCACAACTCAGATGGAGCAGCAGCAGATCCAGGCTCCCATTTCATCCCTCTGGGAAATGGGGACAGGCTGGAGGGAAGGACAGAGCTTGTGACAGGCACCAAAAGCCAACACACACACACACACACAATTAATAAGGTGTGCCCTTATCCAAGTGAGACACGAGGGCCTCTTCCCATTGCCTGTTGGATACACTCTGATGGGACAGGCTGTAGGTACAGCTGTAGAACAACAATTCATAGAATCATAGAATGGTTTGAGTTGGAAGGGACCTCAAAGATCATCTAGTTCCAACCCCCTGCCATGGGCAGGGACACCTCCCACCAGACCAGGTTGCTCAAAGCCCCATCCAGCCTGGCCTTGAACCCCTCCAGGGATGGGGCATCCACAACTTCCCTGGGCAACCTGTTCCAGTGTCTCACCACCCTCATAGTAAAAAATTCACCTGGATCAGTTCTCTGCTCTGCTGCTGACCTTTCGTGTCACCATCACACGTCCCTCTCCCTCCTGGGCTCAACTTCTCTGCACACGAATAGGAGTCCAGGACCCTAAGCATGACCTACAGGAGAAGCAGCACCAGAGCACCCCCACGGTGACTGTCACCCCAACTGAGAGGACACAGTCTGTGTGCCTGAACCACTGCCTCCGAGTGACAGCTCCAGGTTAGCAACAACTGAGGCCAGGGAAAGGGAAGAGAACGTCAGAGTTACTAAAGAAATGCACTGTGGGTTTTCTAAATGAGGCAGGACTTCAGCTACATGGACCCCACTGAGATCCTGGAAGGGATGATGCCACAGGCAACTTGATGGGACCGCTGTTTCCACGCTGAGTGGTCTTTGGCCCTCAGCTTCCCTGTTAAAACACCCACACTGGGAGAGCTGCTTTGGTTGTTGCAGAACCGGGTCACAACAGGCACCTGCTGTGGTTCAGGAGCCAGGAAAGGTGCTCACGCTCCCCATTTCAGGGGCTCCGGGCATGCTCTGGTCCTGGAGCTCACCTGGACTCCTCCTGTGGTGTGTCAGACCCAGGGCAGGAGGAAAGACCTCAGCAGCAACCCCCAGAGCAGGGTGGCTGGGGACGGGCCACCTCTGGTGGCTCAAACACACCTCCTGGGAGGTGATAGACCCGTAAAGAACAGCTCCAGAGGGAGGAGGTCCCGGAGTGAGCCGTACGTACCGTCCCCGGCGTCCAGCCGGTGCAGGTGGGTGGTGTCCTCGGGCTCCAGCTCGGGGGTGTACGGGGGGAAGGCGGTGGCATCCGAGAGCCGGGCCGTGGTGGTGGCAGCGTCGAAGGGGCCACCTCCGGAGGCCAGCTCCGGTGGCTCGTTCCAGAGGGTGGGGACCGGCCCCTGCGGGTACTCTGCTGGGAGAGAAAGCACCCACGGTCACTTGGGGGGCACGGGTGGCCCCAGCCAGGCTGCCAGTGACAAACGTGTCAGGTGTCCCCAGGGTGGATGGAGGGTGACCTGGTGGGACAGAACCCTCCAGGAGGACACCACCTCTGCAGAGCACCAACAGCCAGAGCAGCCAAAGGCAATGCCTGCGTCTGGGGTGAAACTACAGGATTTTGTGACAACCTTGGTGTACACACAACACACACGGGGACAACAGGGAGCTCCCTGCAACCGTGCGAGCTCTGCTTGTGCACAAACGGCCTCTGAGGAACACCCACGGCCAGCTCCTCGTGGATGCCCGTGGGACTGGGCTGGGAAGGGCTGTCACATTCCTGCAACAGGCAGAGGCCGCCTGTGCTGGCCACGTTGAGAGCATCTCAGGGCCTTTCTGTCCCTCACCCCCATCCTGGTGGGGTGTAGGACACCAGAGGCTCCCCCAGGCAGGAGCCCCAGGAGCCTGGTGGGAGCTCTGTTTGATGTTACCCATCAAACCCCATCACCTCCTGTTATTCCTTCCCGCTGTGGGGTCGGGGCCGGGAGCAGAGAGCCCTCCCTGTCTGCGTGTGGCGGGGCCCTCTCAATGCCCGGCTTGTTTCAGGTGGGCCCCGGCGGGAGCGGGAGACATTCCACAGCTCCCTGCTGAAACCGCCAGGAATGTTGCACCGGGATGGGGGAAGAGAGAGAAAAAAAAGAAAAGAGGGGAGGAAAACGAACAGCATCCACCCCCAGGGCCCACCTGAGCCGACAGGGTGGTCATCAGGGCTGGGAAAGAGGGCATCCGAGGAGCCAAAGCTCCCTGGGGCAAGGGACAGAGGTGTCCCCAGGCACCCCAGCTCTGGCATGGTGTCTATCGCTGCACCAAGAGCCCTCAAAGACTTGTCCCAGGCTCTCCCTGGCCCAGCCAGGGAGGTGGCAGCAGCACATCTTGGCAGCACCAACCCCAGCTTTAAGTACCTGTCGGGGTGGTTGACACCAACTGAACAACAACCCTTCCCAAGGAAAGCTGTGCGAGGTTGATGCCCAACACCGTTACCACCACCCAGGGTAGACCCAGAGGGCTGTTGCCAACCCATAGCCACTGCCTGCTGTGGTGGAGCCCTGCCAGGTGCCAAGGAGATGGGGTGGTAGGAGCAAAGAGCACTTTGGGGTGCAGCTTGGCTGGGGTGGCCTTTGCCACATGCCGGGGGGTGGCACGGGAGCAGTGGAGGGCAGGAGACGGGGCTGTTTGTGGTACCAGAAGTATCTTTTATTGCGTTCAGGAGGCAGAGAACTTTCTCAGCGTGATGACGACCAAGGCCACGAGCACAGAGGTACCCAGGAGGGAGGCGATGACAATGGCACCGATAGCTCCGGGCCCCAGCGAGCCTGCAGGGACAGAGAACAAGGCAGCACGAGGTCAGCAGAGATGGGGGGTGCCGGGTGGGAAGGGACCCCCGCACCCAGCATGTCCCCAGCCATCTGCTGGCCCAGAGCCCCTCCCTGGCCATGGTGGCCCTCTTCCCATGGTCCCGAGTCCCAGCAGCGTGGAGCCCTTGGGCAGGGGGCTGGAGCCAGCCACTTGCCCCCCCCCCGTAGCCAGGTCCTGGAGACAAGGACAGCTGCCATAAAGGGGGTCTTTGGCCCTCAGCTTCCCTGTTAAAACACCCACACTGGGAGAGCTGCTTTGGTTGTTGCAGAACCAGGTCACAACAGGCACCTGCTGTGGTTCAGGAGCCAGGAAAGGTGCTCACGCTCCCCATTTCAGGGGCTCCGGGCATGCTCTGGTCCTGGAGCTCACCTGGACTCCTCCTGTGGTGTGTCAGACCCAGGGCAGGAGGAAAGACCTCAGCAGCAACCCCCAGAGCGGGGTGGCTGGGGACGGGCCACCTCTGGTGGCTCAAACACACCTCCTGGGAGGTGATAGACCCGTAAAGAACAGCTCCAGAGGGAGGAGGTCCCGGAGTGAGCCGTACGTACCGTCCCCGGCGTCCAGCCGGTGCAGGTGGGTGGTGTCCTCGGGCTCCAGCTCGGGGGTGTACGGGGGGAAGGCGGTGGCATCCGAGAGCCGGGCCGTGGTGGTGGCAGCGTCGAAGGGGCCACCTCCGGAGGCCAGCTCCGGTGGCTCGTTCCAGAGGGTGGGGACCGGCCCCTGCGGGTACTCTGCTGGGAGAGAAAGCACCCACGGTCACTTGGGGGGCACGGGTGGCCCCAGCCAGGCTGCCAGTGACAAACGTGTCAGGTGTCCCCAGGGTGGATGGAGGGTGACCTGGTGGGACAGAACCCTCCAGGAGGACACCACCTCTGCAGAGCACCAACAGCCAGAGCAGCCAAAGGCAATGCCTGCGTCTGGGGTGAAACTACAGGATTTTGTGACAACCTTGGTGTACACACAACACACATGGGGACAACAGGGAGCTCCCCGCAACCGTGCGACCTCCGCTTGTGCACAAACAGGCTCTGAGGAACACCCACGGCCAGCTCGCTCCTGGATGCCCATGGGACTGGGCTGGGAAGGGCTGTCACATTCCTGCAACAGGCAGAGGCCGCCTGTGCTGGCCACGTTGAGAGCATCTCAGGGCCTTTCTGTCCCGCACCCCCATCCTGGTGGGGTGTAGGACACCAGAGGCTCCCCCAGGCAGGAGCCCCAGGAGCCTGGTGGGAGCTCTGTTTGATGTTACCCATCAAACCCCATCACCTCCTGTTATTCCTTCCCGCTGTGGGGTCGGGGCCGGGAGCAGAGAGCCCTCCCTGTCTGCGTGTGGCGGGGCCCTCTCAATGCCCGGCTTGTTTCAGGTGGGCCCCGGCGGGAGCGGGAGACATTCCACAGCTCCCTGCTGAAACTGCCAGGAATGTTGCACCGGGATGGGGGAAGAGAGAGAAAAAAAAGAAAAGAGGGGAGGAAAACGAACAGCATCCACCCCCAGGGCCCACCTGAGCCGACAGGGTGGTCATCAGGGCTGGGAAAGAGGGCATCCGAGGAGCCAAAGCTCCCTGGGGCAAGGGACAGAGGTGTCCCCAGGCACCCCAGCTCTGGCATGGTGTCTATCGCTGCACCAAGAGCCCTCAAAGACTTGTCCCAGGCTCTCCCTGGCCCAGCCAGGGAGGTGGCAGCAGCACATCTTGGCAGCACCAACCCCAGCTTTAAGTACCTGGAGCCCTCCGTGCCTCCCACAAGGTGCCACCTGCCCACGGGAGGAGAGCGGGGTGAAGGATCGGCCCTGACGGGCTCCACCACGCTGTGTTCTCCTGTAGGAGCCCTGAGTCAAAAGGAACAGGAGGAGCAACACCCACACAGTCACCTTTACTCCTGTACAAACCCACCGATGGGACTTCCCACATCAAAGAGTAGCTCCCACCAACTTAGGAGCAGGACAGGGTTCTAGACTAGTTTTGGAAAGTCCTTTCTACAGCCACAAAAGCGACAGGATTTCCAGCCAGGCAGACGCCAGGTTTAGCTCCAACCCAATCAGCAACGAGACAAATAATTCCCCAGTTTGAGGCTGGTGCCAGGGGGGTCGATCTCGTCTCCCAAGTCACAGGAGATGGGAAACGGCCTCAAGTTGCGCCACAGGGAAGTTTAGATTGGATATCAGGAAGAATTCCTTCATGGAAAGGGTTATCCAGCATTGGAATGGGCTGCCCAGCAAAGTGGCTGAGGCACCATCCCTGGAGGTGTTCAAAAGACAGTTGACATGGTCCTCAAGAATATGGTTTAGCTCACCCACCCGAGGAGCAGCAGTGAATCCCGTCCTCACACACTTGGTCACTGCATCAGAGGTGGCCATCTCAGGTACCTGGTGGGAGCACACGAGGGGTTTGTGCTCCACAACAGCTGCCCAGAAACACCCAAGCCAGAATCACAGAATCACCTAGGTTGGAAGGGACCTTTAAGATCATCTAGTCCAACCATTTGGAGGGCCCTAACCAACCTGTCCAACCAACAGCAAAACTGGAGACTCCATCCCCATCCAGAGGCTCTTCCAGTAAGTGCCATTTCCAGTGGACCTCTCTCCTGTAAATCCTGTGGTTTGGCTACTGGGGGACAGATCAGGAGGAAATACAGAATTTAGTGGGTCAATGGAGTTAAAACAAGAGGGAAAGGAACCGAGCGGAACTGGGCTCCTCAGTCAGCGGTGGTGGCATCAGAAACCTGCTGGTTTAGGCACAAACCAAACGTTCATAAAGGCCTTTGAAGGCCTGGCTGCCGTGGCAAGTGGAGAAACTCCACACGGAAGAGCTACGCTCCCGCTACAACCTTCCCGACTGTGTCAACACCCCCAGGGCCAGCACCAACACTGCAGCCGTGCCCACCTGGCAAGAGAACACCCCTCTGGGAGGACGTCCCAAAAATACCCAGAGAGCTGGGTGTACCCCTGGGATCTGCCGGGGGACAGGCCTTAGCTCACACAACCCGTAACCCATGCGGGCACCGTCCCGGGAGGCTGTAGGACCTGGATGCAGGACTTTCCAACTCCCTGTTCTCAAATGGGTGAGGAGGGAGCACTGCCCCTTCCAACCGTAGCCAAAAGGTGCTTTTTTCTACCCAGACCCACGGGTCTCGGAAAGCCTCTCCTGTCCCTGACGCATCTAATCCCCCCCAAAATTTATTGCAGCTCCCTTCAGGCAGAGCACAGAGCACATTTCTGACAGCCAAGTAAAAGGGAAAACTGTCTAATTTGTTTATGATATTGGCTTTTTTTTAAACCTGGACAGAGTCCTGGACAGCTTCTGGAGATGGTATTCTGTTAATTCCTCCCCCTCATCTGATTAAAACACGCTTTTCAGCTCACCCTGGCAGAAAGGGCAGGGTGTGCTCAACGTGAGTTTTCCGTCCTGAGCCCTTGTGGTTTTTCCCTTTAACGGCGCTTCCACCGAGGGACACACAGCTCCTTTCAGCCGGGAGCGGTGCCTGGGCCACGGCAGCAGGGTCCTGCAGATGCATTAAGGAGAAAATATCTACCTCTTAACATCTCCCAGAGCCAGGGCCCACCGCCGGCTTCTCCTCCTGCTTTCCTGCTCCTCGATGCTGCTGGAGCGGACGCTGAGAGCCCCACAGCGGGTGGTGGGACACAAAGCCCAGCGGGCAGGACTCTCCAGAGCCTGTTCGTAGCCAGAGCTTTTCTTTCCAAGACTGGCCTTTGATTTTTCCCTTAACATCTCCCAGAGCCAGGGCCCACCGCTGGCTTCTCCTCCTGCCTTCCTGCACCTCGATGCTGCTGGAGCGGACGCCGAGAGCCCCACAGCGGGTGGTGGGACACAAAGCCCCAGGCACCGTCCCCAGAGAGTGGGCAGGACTCTCCAGAGCCTGTTCGTAGCCAGAGCTTTTCTTTCCAAGACTGGCCTTTGATTTTTCCCTCCCAAACTAACAGCTCGTGTCCTCACGTGCCTCCGTTTCCCCCTGTTTTAGAGAAGCAGCCCAACGACCCATCCCCACATCTGGATTCTTCAGCAGCCAGGAGGAGTGACACCCACTCCCCTCCCCAGCACCCCCAGTGAGCACAACTCAGATGGAGCAGCAGCAGATCCAGGCTCCCATTTCATCCCTCTGGGAAATGGGACTGGCCTTTGATTTTTCCCTCCCAAACTAACAGCTCGTGTCCTCACGCGCCTCTGTCTCCCCCTGTTTTAGAGAAGCAGCCCAACCACCCATCCCCACATCTGGATTCTTCAGGAGTGACACCCACTCCCCTCCCCAGCACCCCAGCACCCCCGGTGAGCACAGCTCGGACAGAGCAGCATGGGATCCAGGCTCCCATTTCATCCTTCTGGGAAACCAGGACAGGCTGGAGGGAAGGACAGAGCTTGTGACAGGCACCAAAAGCCAACACACACACAATTAATAAGGTGTGCCCTTATCCAAGTGAGACACGAGGGCCTCTTCCCATTGCCTGTTGGATACACTCTGATGTCCCCTCCCCAGCACCCCAGCACCCCCGGTGAGCACAGCTCGGACAGAGCAGCATGGGATCCAGGCTCCCATTTCATCCTTCTGGGAAACCAGGACAGGCTGGAGGGAAGGACAGAGCTTGTGACAGGCACCAAAAGCCAACACACACACAATTAATAAGGTGTGCCCTTATCCAAGGGCCTCTTCCCGTCACCTGTTGGATACAGACAGGACAGGCTGTAGGTACAGCTGTAGAACAACAATTCACCTGGATCAGTTCTCTGCTCTGCTGCTGACCTTTCGTGTCACCATCACACGTCCCTCTCCCTCCTGGGCTCAACTTCTCTGCACACGAATAGGAGTCCAGGACCCTAAGCATGACCTACAGGAGAAGCAGCACCAGAGCACCCCCACGGTGACTGTCACCCCAACTGAGAGGACACAGTCTGTGTGCCTGAACCACTGCCTCCGAGTGACAGCTCCAGGTTAGCAACAACTGAGGCCAGGGAAAGGGAAGAGAACGTCAGAGTTACTAAAGAAATGCACTGTGGGTTTTCTAAATGAGGCAGGACTTCAGCTACATGGACCCCACTGAGATCCTGGAAGGGATGATGCCACAGGCAACTTGATGGGACCGCTGTTTCCACGCTGAGTGAAGAGGTGGGGTGAGCTGCCAGCACAGCGACGTGGTGGCCAGTGCCCCAGATACTTGGTGACTGAAAGATAAGACTGGAAGAGTCTCCACAAGTGATAGCTCTTGAGGAAGCCAATTAAATCGGAAGGATCCCTCAAGATAATCCCAAACAGCCAGAACCTCTCCACAGGCAGACCACAAGACCTCAAGGCAGGTAGATATGGCCACCTAACATCTTCATCCCTGGAGATTACTCACCCAGTGACCAATACTCTTCCTCATACAAGCTGGTTTCAGCATATCATCATCCTTGCTCTCCACCTCCAGCCCAGTAACCTTAGTGGGGAGCTGATATTGGTGTCAGTAACTCATAAGGAGCGTTGGTGCAGAGCAAGGTTGAGTAACGTTCTACAAAGACTTGCTCGAAGTCTGGATGAACCTGTTTGGAACAACCGCATCTTTTTAAGAAATTTGCCTGACAAAACCTATTGACCACTTCTCACATTCTAGTACTTGAATTTCAAAAACTTCCTAAATAATCTTTTATTCTCCTACTGTTGAGCACAAAGACCCACAAGTGGCTAAAGAAAGGTGTCCTTGGACAAGGTCTTCTCCTGTACGTTTTCCTTTAGCATGTCATCTCATGGTCTGCTGCTTTTTTCCTCCTCTATGCACACCCTGATGTGCTACTGCAGAATGATGTATTTCCACATTAGCTCAAAACAAGGGAAGTCATGAGCCCACATCAGGATGGAGATGCCAAACACATACATGATTCAGAAGCCAAGGTCTTGCAAAGGCTTTTACTACCTTCCACTTCACTTGAAACTTTATACGAATTGAAACAGGTTTTGCTGATAGGAAAAAGATAAAATTCAGTTCTCCATGATCCCCCTGTGCGCTGGGCATCAGCGCCACTTGGGTTTGGAGAAAGCAAAAGCAGAGAAGATTTGGGAGTGCAGAAGTGCCTGTTTCCTGTTGCAACCCAGATGACGTGGACAGAGAGGGCTAGAGACTGGGTGGAGTTGTTTCCCCATCTTTGACAAATGGGATATTGGAAAGAGCTCAGGAAAGAACCCACGCTTTCTGCTGTCGCAGAGCCCTGAAACCAGGAAAACCATCCAGGAAACCAGAACAGCTGGGCAAGGAGCCAGACGACCCACCGGCACCCCAAAAACGTTCTGACTGCTACAGCCAGAGGGGAACCTCAGCAAGATCCTTCACATCTCTCTGAACTCCTGAGGGGTCTGGTACCGGGGTAGCTCTAAGCCACCACTGAGATTAAATTAAATCCAGCAAAGAAGGGAAGGCTCATTCTGGACCTCGGGTCTGCACGGCCACCATCACCTGCAGCCCCATCCGAGGCGGACCCCGCTTCTGCTCACCATGGAGGGCTTTGCTATGGAAAACACGAGGTGCTGAGACCAGAGGGCAGGGGCTGGGTGAACTCTGAGGCCAGTAACGGGCTGTCCAGCCCCAGGTAGTCACAGCGGGCACGGGGCCAGCGCCGGGATGAAAAGAGGCCTTCATGGGGAGCACAAAGGGCAGCCTGTGATGGGCGAGCGCCGGGAGCCGGAGCGGGGAGCAGCGCGGGGCGCTGCGGTGCCGATGAATGTTAAATAAACTTGTTTACGGAGAGGCAGGGCTGCGTGTGCACGCACCGGGGCCGGGGGGCTGCTTCTGCACCCTTCCCTTCTTTGTCTGCACAAGGCAGGAAATTTCCTTTTCTAACGGGGTGAAAAGCAGAAAAGAAAAAAAGAAATTCCACTGTGCACTAAAAAGCCCCTGGACTGATGTGGGGAGTCACCTCTTCCACCTGGAATGAGGCAGAAAATCATTCTGCTCCGGGGTTGGTGCATCATACAGGCTGGTTCCCTCCCAAAGAGGGAAGAACAACTTCTTAGAGGCTTCGAGCCCCTAAAATGCAAGAGGGAAAGCAGAGAGTCTCTCCTGCGCCCCGGGATCCGAAGGCTGCATCCATCAGCACAAAGCTCTTCAAGCCTCACTGTGCGACCGCGACTCACTCAGTCGAGGAATCGCCCCAACTCAGGGTATTTCAGAGGAGCCAAGCAATGGGTACAAGCCACAGCTGAGAGCAGGGAGGAGGGGAGGCTGGCAGGGCAGGGACAGAGCAAACGCACACCAAATATTGGGAACTTAAAAGAGCGTAGAAGAAATCCCGGCTCGGGGAGGGAGCAGATCAAATTTTCACCCAAAATTAATCAGTTTCTGCGGAGTGAAATACTATTCAGTTAAGAAAAGACCTTACCTGGTTTGGGGGAAGAGCTCTGCCACCGCTTCTGGGAGCACGAGCAAGCTACAAACTGAAACTGTGCTGAAGCCATTCAAGTTCCACGACACAAAAATCAGTTTGAGGAGGAAAATACCCACTTTTTAGTGCTCGTTTCTTAGTTACTTTAAGGGTTTCCCAGCAAGGTGTCCTACAAGGGGAGGAGGATCTGTGGGGGAAATACCAGCTACAGCAATTGTGTTCTTGCACCCACAGATGTTCCAGCCAGGAACAGTGATGAATTCCCCTGCCCATATCAAAGCTACTTTAAAAAGGAATAATTTAATCTGCTAGAAGGCTGGCCAGATGCTCAGAACAAACTGGGAGGGAACTGCAATCCTGCCTTGCTCCAGGTCTTGGAAGGCAGGAGACAAGAATTTAGGAAAACAAGGGCTGTGCTCTTGCCTGTTACCTTGGCCTGAGCCATCTCCTCACCTGCACTTGGAGAAAGAGGCTTTGAGGGAAGCAGTTCCCCATTGGAGTTTCCACCTGGATGCTCAGAGCCCATTTCCCCCTGTTTGTAAAACCCATCCCAGACCAGGCAGGTTTGGGGCTGACTGTGCCCTCGGTTGCCCCCACAGCTGGGCCAAAAGGGGAGCAGATAAGGCTTGAAATTACTGACCACCTCCTTCAAGAAACAGCATCTCACAGAGTAGGTGTCTCACAGGAACCATTCCCATCCCCTCAATGAACCTGGGTCCAGCCACGCACCTTCCCAGGTGTGCCCCGCTCGGGACAGAAACCCCATTTAGGTGCACACCTCAGCTTCCAGCAGAGCTAAACCTTTCCATAGACACTTCCATATTTCTACTTGACAGAGGCTGTAGAGAAATGCTCTGCTGGAGCAGAAGCCACAGAAGGAACCAGAGATGAGCACACATGCTTTAGTCGGAGGGGAAAAAAGTCTCTTTTTGCGATTATAACTTCTTTCTGCCATTAAAAGCTGGGAGATAACCCATCCCATCAGCTGCTGAGAGTCCCCATCTGCTGCTGGCTGATCCATTGACTGATCTCCTGTCACTAAAGCTCACGGAGGTGCCTCTGCTCTTCAGCTTAGGAGAAATTACAAAGGATTTTCTTAATTCTCCCCCCAACACCAACCTGGTCTCAAGACGAAGAATATATCTCCTTACTCACCACCAGCCACCGATCCCAGAGCTCGTTTCTGTTACTCAATTATAACTCAATAAATACTTAACGGGTGTTTTTAGTGGAGGGGGAGGAGGGAGGCAGTGAGGAGAGGAGACGGAGAGGCAGGTTAGTAAAAGATCTGAGGTGCTTTTGGGGCTTGAAACGCGAGCGAAGCTCCTTACCTGCCAGCGCAGCAGGGAGCAGGATGCTGCAGAGCGTCAGCAGGAGCAGGCGGAGGAGGACTCGGTGGCAGGGCATGGCTTCCCTCAGGAAAAGCCTCGGCAGGAATTCTTAAAACTCTTCCAAAGTAGGAAACAACTCGGAAATGGCACTGGGACAGTGGAAAAAACAAAAAAAACCCAACACAACAAACTTTGTCCAGTCAGGTAAAAAAATTAAAAAAAAAAAAATACAAAAAATTCCTTCACAACAGCAAGTGGATGGAAAGAGTGCAAAGCCCAGCAGAGACTCTCTCTCTGTGGCTTCTGGAGCACACCTCCTCCTCCTCCTCCTGAAGGCAGCTCCACCCTCTAAAAATCTCTGCCTAAAACCCCATAGGCAGCCGAGCACACACACACACACACCAGCGGTTGTTGGCCAGCCCTTTCCAGAGGACATGGGGATGCTCCTGGAATTGGGAGGGCTAACCCCAAAAACCAGCAGGCGACTGGAGGGCTGTGCTGGCTCCTGGGCGCGCAGGGCAGCAGTGGTGGTGGTGATGGTGGTGGTCTTCCCAGGGTGGGCACAGCCAAGAAAACAAGGGCCTCAATCTTTTGGAGGCTCAAAGGCTCTGAAAGGGAGCCAGAGCAGCTCCGTGGCACCCTTGTTTTCTGGGTGTAATACTTACAGAGGTGGGTTTGTAGCCACGTGTGGTCTCCGCTGGTGGAACTGCCTGTTAAAACATGGTAGGTCTTTTCCAGGAGAGTCACCTCTGCCGGGCAAGGCCGCTGTCCTCCTCCAGTTTGAACCACATGGACACTACCTCCTACAGCCCCCCCTGCCACTCCATCCCTCCCCAAAGAAATCAGGAGATTCCTTTCAAATCACAGAGACTCAGGAAAAGGACAAAGCGTTTTAAAAGGGGACCACTCCTGCTCGTTGTCAAAGGACAGAAGAATTTCATTAGGATTTCTTTTTTTTTTTTAAAAAAGTTGAGGATGAAATACTTCACGGCTTTCATCCAGAAAAAGGTGTTGTAATAAAGTACATAAACACCCCCAGTGTCAGTTCTTTATGCTCTGAAAAGGTGACACAAGTGGCTTTGTCTTAAATTTCAGACTCAGATTTTCCTAGTAAAGATGTCTTTGCTTTCTGGCTGTCTCTGGCAGTTCAGCTCTCCTTGTAAACCATTCTGCTCTTGGCCAAAGCTGGAGAAACGGAGAGGACCAAGCACTGTCCCGGCAGTGAAACGAGAAGTTGGGAAGTACCTGGTGAAACGTGCTCAAAACAGAACCTCAGACACCTCCAGCATCAAATTCAAACTTGGATCAAAGCCCCACCAGCTTTCCAGGCTCGTGCCTGGTGTGAGCAGAGACATGACCATGGTTCTCCTCCCTCCGCCCAAATCCTGCTACACCTCACCTGAGAGAAGGGACAAACCCGAGAGGGGGCTGTCCTTAGCAAGGGGTGGGCTGTGCTAATTCAGCAAACATAACAGGGGAAAATAAGCATCCCCTAAGAGAGAACAAAGACCACCCCTGTGCCTGGGGAGATTTTTACCAAGAAGGAAGAAGATTACGTGTGCCAAGATTCCCTGAAAAAATGCTGGAACCAGGACTGGTGATGGCTTTATCTCTGTCTTCTCCTCTATCCCTCAGTTTCTCTTTTTCTCCCAGAGTTGTTAAGGAACAGTCAGAGTTGTTAAGTCACAACCTTAAGTACCACTTGCCATCAGTTGTTGCACAAGTACCATGCTCAGTAACACAATACACACCTCACCGCTTGCCATAATTTGTTATATGCCTAACCAATTACCGCAGACTTATTAAGAATTACACTAATTATTTTGAGAAACTAATAAACGTTTGTCTACGGACCTCGAGATTGCTCTCACCTCAGTCTGTGCCGTTGGGGATTTATGAATCTGAAGTCACTGACCCCCCTCTCTTTCCTGAGAGTGGGATGTGACAGGCAGTCACTGCAGGGTACAGTCTGAACGCGCCGGCATCTTACCTTTGTACTAAATACAGAAGCCAGAACATGAAAATATTAAGAGTGAGATCTTCCCCACTGGTCTATTATCTAACTCTTAGACGCCCAGCAAGGTCCTCGGGGTCTGACAAATCATTGCACGTTCTCCCTGCTCGCCTTTCTGCATTTTCAGTTAGCAATTGGTGAATTGTTCCTTTCCTGCTCCCCAGCTGGGCTGGAAATTAACAGGCTTTTGCTTATTTGTTACATGGTAAAGAGCAGTCCAAAATAAGCTTGTAGAAATTAGATCATACCATTAAAAAAAACAGAGAGTACTTATGAACCAGACATCTTATGCACCAAAAAAAATAATGAAGATATCAAAGTCGAATTATCAGCCTAAAATTGTACAGTTTTCTCCAAGACAGAAGCTAAACATAATGCACAGCTATTGTATAAGTTAGGTCTTAGTATACTGACTTCATATCCTTTGTGGTCACGTGAATGGTAGAAGGACATTTATCAGTAGCTTTTACTGGGATTTTCCACACAAAAAATCAAGCAGCGAGTAGAAAAAAAAGGGAAAATAAGATTTTTGTCTAAAATGGGAAGTCTACAAGGTGTCCGTGTGGACTTTATGCCGAGGGGAGAAAGAAAAGCTCTCATTTAGGGGAAGGAAGCTGGGATGGGTGGGGTGGCAAAAAGAGGCTCCACGGCCGAGTGTTTGCAGTAACAGAAAACCAGCCCCGGCTTGATCTCTCCTGCATAAACAACATGAGCCTGAATGCACGTGTTTCTGTACAGAGGGGGGGGGAAATTACAGCTTTCTTGTCAGAATTTTCCAAATCTCAACTTAGTGGTGTTTATTTGAACTCTAAAATTATCAAGAAAAAAAAAAAAAACACCAAACCCACCGGTATTCCTCACCAGGGACGAAATAAAGCAGCGGTTGTTGTTCCACATCCTGTGTGTTTGCTTGTTGTTTCTTGATGAAAACTGATGCGAGTCGAGTTTGGGGTCAGTTTTAGCACCAGGAATTATCTCAAAACTCAGCTTTGACAAAAGCAAGCAGAAAGTTTTCTCTCAGATATAATACAACCAGGTTTTATTTAAGTTCTCTCTTTTTTCCCCCCCCACACTGGCAAAAGTTCAGAGGGAGTTTAAAGTTTTGTAAACATTTTAACTACCCCTCTTCCCCCTTTTATGAATTTACAAAGCAAAGGAGACAGGGAGACCAGATTTGCAACAGTTCCAAGTCTCTCCATGCTATTGGATCCAAAAACTATATACAAGTCTGCAGCAGTCTCTGTATAGTTACTGTACATGTTTGGGGGGCAGGGGGAAGAGAGAGGAGGAGGAGGGGGAAGGTGACCCCAAAAAATGAAGAAACCAAACGAAATAAAATCCAAAGCCAAACTGCTCTCGAGCCAACTCGAACTGTTTTCTTTAGGCAGTGATGACAGAACGACAGACACCTTTATACAACTCCACCAGGACTGACTGTAGCGTATCTCCCTTGGCAGGTGACAACCCTCTGGGAACGGGAGACGGGACCAGGGGGTTGAAACTAAGTGCATTTGGCAGTTTCCATTTCCTTTCTTTTTGTGGTGTGTGTGCGCGTGGGTGGGTGGGTGGAGAAGGGAAGGTGGTGTTAATCTTTCGGTGAGAGAGGAAGGTGATGACTCCATAAATACTTAAAAGATTATGGATCCCAGTGAAGGTGCGTGAGATATTTAAGGTGTAGAAGACAAGCAGGGCCATCATTGCACATCGCTTCGCCCCTCCACAGTCTCTCTTCAGGACAAAAAGGGCATCTCTGCTCGTTAACCCAAGCACTGCTTGACATGACAACTCGCTAAGACTGCTGGGGTACGTCTCTGAAAGCCAGTGTTCACCCTCACCAAAGACTACAGATCCACACCGTAAAGATCCTACTGTCTCTTAAACGAGACAAATTTGCAGGAAAAGAGCTCAAAATAAACTGGTCCTAACCCTCCCAAGGTAGCATTTAAGGGATAAATTCAACCTGAAAGAAGAGATGCCACCCCACTTTATTTCTTTTTTCCTTTTTTTTCTTTCCCCCCCAGAGTAGAAGTCCCCACTTGTCCAGAAAGGCTGAATAATGCCGACAGGGAACTCCACCAGCTTCAGCATCACCACCTAATGAAGACAGACTCGAGCTTTCCCTCCAAAAAAAAAAATAATGTGCTGAGAAGGGCTGGCAGGGGGGTGTGCAACTTCAAACCAACCCAAGCTAAACTGCGCCCGCCACCGCCCCTCTCCTGCTGTCGCCAGTCCTAAGGTTAGCTTATGAATGCAACTCCTGGCCTGGGAGAGCACCTCTTGCCCTGATGGAGCGTGGAAGTCAGTATCTGTGTGGCATTTTGGTTTTGACCAACATCTGTTAACCACAAACTCTCTCTCTCTCTCTCTCTCTCCATGACTGTACGTGTTGGATGTGGTAAGAGGAACCAGGAGAGGGAAGCAATGCGTTTGCAGAATCCCAATTGATATTATTTTGTTTTTTGTTTTTTTTCCAGGTATGTCAGCAGAAGAAATCACAGCACAGTGAAAGCTTTGCTGCCCAAAAATCAGCCTCGGTGTGAAGGAATCCTGTCTCCCACCCTCCCAGGACTCTCAACAAAGTCCACTCGACTCTAGGCTGACGGGAGGAACGATGCCTGTGCAGTCCTGGGCAGAAAGGGTTTTGCTGGGGCTCGAGGAAGCAGCCTGAGATGATTGATCCTGTGATTCACTGCGAGGCGAAGGAGAAGGCGTGGTGGAGAGTACTGTGTCCAAAACGGAGAATCCATGGTTAACAGATGCAGGAAAAGCCAGTTGATTTGCACATGCTCAGTAGTCTTCCAAAGTCTCTATTTCTCCCATATTGAGCCGCTCTGACGAGGCATTCACTGAAAACCCTGTAAACCAAAAAGGACTTGGGTTAAAAACCTGGATGTGGTACATTGTATCTGATGCAATACATCTGTTACATCCGGTACTGTGCATGAGAAAATGAATGATACATACCAAATAAAGACTCAGGGAAATTCAGTAAGGCTAGAGATACAATTACCCAAACTGTTTGGTTGTTTCCTTAATAAAAGAGAGATAATCAATTGTGTATTTAGGCAAGTATCACTTGGTCTTCAAAAACAGACCAGCAGAAGACTGGTTTCAACTTTCATTCATCAGATGTCACCTGCAGGGCTCGTACGAGGCAGATCTAGGCAGAGTGGTGACAGTTGGTAGGGAGCAGGTTTGAGTCAACTGGTACTTGAAAATGCCTGTCAACACTGTACTTACATGGTGCAACAGCCAGAAATAGACATTTTGTCAACTCAGAATCCAAGTGTGTAATCCTGTTCAACGCTTCAGGGGGTATGAGCAATTCTACCCCTTATTTTAAAGTCTAAATACACATATCTATGAAATCTAGTGGCAATTCCATGTATTTCCATGCATATTTTTTTTTTTTACCATCTTCTGTCTCATTAATGCAACATAAAAATATGCAAAGTTATCGAGGGCTATAGAGATGGCTCAAGACACACCTAAACTACCCAATAAATTTTGCTGATAAAAAGCAAAAACATTTTCTACAAGGAAAAAATCCAAACTCTCAACATGCAATTTTCCTACTGAATCCAATTTTTATGGTTGTACCAACCCCCTGTGGAGTATGGGAAAAGGGAAAGTGTTCCTGTGTAAGGCTACTAAACACCAACCTGACATTTCATTGTCTTGAGAGTGCTGTAGGCTTGCTCTGTGCTAGAAAAGAAACTGCATTTCACAGTCATCTTCAACAGATAAAAAGTGCTCTGTCAGTAGGTTTAAGAAAATTCTTCTGGCTCCCTCTTGTGGCGGAATTATTTTGTATTAGAGAGCACTGATTTTTAACAAGCTGCATGTGCTACTTTCTCTTCCAGATGTGATGACTTAATTGTATTTACTGATTTCTTCTTCGCTTTACTTGAGCAGCTTTTTAAACTACTCAACTGAAGACTCAGCTCAGAGTCACTGGATTGGCATCTGAGGGTGGCATTTGGGATTCCACTGAAGAGTTCAGTGGACTTCAATGCAGAAATCAATTTAATTGAGAGCATTGATTTTGTTGGGAAGAAAAAGGGAAGATAAAAAACAATGGTGAGGCTCTGTTAGAGCCTTAAAAAAAGCAGAGACTTCCAGGTGGCTAATACCAGACTTCTTTAGACAAATATGAGCTAAGTAGCACCAGCACAACAAATACTGGCCCAGTGCAGTGCCCCAGTTTCCTTCTTATCATGTGGCAGCACAAGTTTGTTCTACAAGAACACTACAATGATGCATTACATCCTACAACACTCACTACTCTTATGCTTACATGATGCCACTTCGAAGAAACCTTTCCATCACTGCTATACCATCCTTGCATAAAAATCAAGATGGAAAAAAAGGGGTGGAAGAAAAGGACCACTAACAATGTCATCATCTCCACTGCCTCCAACTGAAAACTTGTGACCACTTTTCAATTGTTTTTTCATAAGATCTTTGCCATCTGTTCTGACTAGAGTGGTTAGTTCATGTAAGACGACGGGAAGGGATAAAGGTAAGCCTCAAGAAGCTGCTCCTCGTGAAGAAACAGAAAACATGCTTTTCTTAAAAGAATAAATTAATTCAATAAAATAGGTATAGGTCAATTCAAACGAGGAAAGGAAGTTTAACTGATGTCCATGAACCTTGGTGACAACCAAAGTACTGAAGAGGTCTTTTCATGAGTGAAAGTTTGACAAAATTTTCCATGAAACTGATATAGAATTCTTGAAGTCATTAAATAATAATATTGAACCAAATTCTAAAGACACTTCAACTATTCTTCAAATTCTAAAGACAACTTCAACCTTTTCTATTCAAATTCAATACTGCTTACATGATGCCACTTCGAAGAAACCTTTCCATCACTGCTATACCATCCTTGCATAAAAATCAAGATGGAAAAAAAGGGGTGGAAGAAAAGGACCACTAACAATGTCATCATCTCCACTGCCTCCAACTGAAAACTTGTGACCACTTTTCAATTGTTTTTTCATAAGATCTTTGCCATCTGTTCTGACTAGAGTGGTTAGTTCATGTAAGACGACGGGAAGGGATAAAGGTAAGCCTCAAGAAGCTGCTCCTCATGAAGAAACAGAAAACATGCTTTTCTTAAAAGAATAAATTAGCATTAATTCAATAAAATAGGTATAGGTCAATTCAAACGAGGAAAGGAAGTTTAACTGACATCCATGAACCTTGGTTACAACCAAGGTACTGAAGAGGTCTTTTCATGAGTGAAAGTTTGACAAAATTTTCCATGAAACTGATATAGAATTCTTGAAGTCATTAAATAATAATATTGAACCAAATTCTAAAGACACTTCAACTATTCTTCAAATTCTAAAGACAACTTCAACCTTTTCTATTCAAATTCAATACTCCCACTTAAGGTTAACAAGAATTCTACACTCCACAAAGCTTTTCCTGAATTAAACATTAATTTCTAAAAATCAAAACCAACCTAGCAAGCTGGGATCTGCGCGAACCATTTTCTGTTTCTTCTTCTTCTTCCCGCTCTGCACAGCCTCAAAGTTGGATTGCTGGTTGTTGCTCTGGTTGGTCTGAAAGACCGAATGTAGCGAACTGTGGTTCATCCCCCACACTGAATCCTAGAGAACAAAGTGAGTACAAGATTATAAAGTGCAATTAAGTTTGGTTTATTTACGTTGAGAACATCCAGAGAGCTCAAAGCTCTTTTTCCTGCCTCGTGTGTGGCAGCACTGGCTGCTGATGCATCCATCCAACACGTCTTTCTAAAGCTCATCCTGGATCAGCGCGCTAAGGCACTATTTGATCTACTAGTTGGCCTCACCTGTTAGTAAGAAAGGATACTTGATTGTGCAGCGCGCTAAGGCACTATTTGATCTACTAGTTGGCCTCACCTGTTAGTAAGAAAGGATACTTGATTGTGCAGTAAATATTTTAAATCTCCTTTATTCTCTGTGTTTCACAGGACCTGTAAAATCCTGTCAAGCCAGCAGAAACGCCTCTTCTGTCTCAAACACAGTCCCTGCACACTCCTAAGGACTGCAGCGCGTAAGATTTACCTGTTGCTGCTGCTGTTGTCGCTGCTGACTGGCTTTCTGTTTGGCACGGCGCTCGAGAAACTGCTTGGCAAACTCCTTGGCCTCAGGAGTATCTCCAAGATAGGCTCTGATGTAATCATGGACCTCGTAGGGAGACTCCACTTCCTTCAGGAAAGAAACAAACGTGGGAACTGCAAGAAGAAGGCAGACCGTGAGGGAAGTGCACGTTGATGCGTGAACGTGTGGCATTCAGTAAGCACAAACTTTGGGTTCCTGTTTCAAATATTTGCTAATCTAATAGCAATTGCAATTGTTCCCCTAGGGTAAAGCCCTCCAGTTCAATGCTTCACTTGTTCTGCAGTCAAAGCAAGGATAAGAAAGCCGACTAACGTGATGAGAAGGAAAAATAAAGTGAGAATCCCAAGGGTGTGTCAGCCCACCAGCTTTAGCCCCTGACAGCTTCTAAGCTCAAATTTAATGCCAGGCTCAAATAGTGTTGCATTTGGCACAACAGTCCTGTCATCAGTACAGTCTCTTTTTGGCTGAAGCACAACAGATGCCACTCACAGTGGCTGACCTGACCTGCAAACACCTGAAGTTGAGCAGGTACCTCACTTGCCAGCCTTCCTTACCGTATTTTTCCCTTAGAATAACTGTTGCACTGAGTTTTTTTATAACATGAAGACGGGCAAAGCAGGCCACAAGCCAGGGAAGAAACCAGGACAAGAGGCTGCCACCTGTGCCACAAAGTAGCCTTAGAAGCATGGAAGCTCCCTGTGGATGTATGGCCCATGATGTAAGGCCCAGGGCCACAGCCTCTCCTCAGATGCCACAGACAGGGGCTGTCTCCTCCAGGAGGAGGGAAGCTGTGACACTGCAGTTGTGCGAGGTGTGATCCTGGCTCTTGGGGCAACGCTGGTTCCCCAGACAGGTCCAAGGGTCCCACAGGACCACAGCTTTGCAGGGTGCAGGTGCTGGAGCACAAGGATTTGTACAGGTCCACAAGGGAAGTCTGTAGCGTTTTGCTACAGGGTGGTATCACGTTTGTGATCCCAGACTGGAAGTTCCTCTATGTGCCCTCCAGCAGAATTAGTAAAGAACAACCAGTTTCACACCAAAAAAAATTATTTTCCTCATCCATCTGCATCTTCAATGTCCACCAAAAACCCTCAGCAGAGCTCTGGGTGACCTTAAAACTGCTTCCAACCCCTACTGATTTGCTCTAGATAGCCCAACAAAAACCATGGAGAAGATGATGCACCCAGTTCTTCAAACCACTATTTAATGATGCCATTTTGTTGACTGCGTTAAAAACATCACTTCAATGCCATTTTAATCCCCCCCAAAAAACCAAACCCCTTTCTCACAGTGGATCACGTGCATTCCTCCCCACCTCTTACCATCTAAGTTGTTGGCTGTGTTGAGTGCATGAAGCATCTGTTCACACCACTGAGTGAATCCATCCTGGGCTTTATTAACCCCCTGGAACAATTTCAACAGCTTCTCCTCTTCTTCCACCTTCTTGTTTTGTCTACTTGTAAGACCCACAGATTTACTGAGATGAAGAAAACACATAATAAGTTATAAATTATCAGACTTGTAAATCTGATTATAAATCAGACTTAGCAGCAGTACAGTATACAGTACAGTGTCACAAAGCTCACTAGTTTACAAGATGCAAACACTGTTTAAGAACCAACTAATTTTCCAAGTAGATGACAAAATAAATTGTGAATGATCACCTATTAGCTATTTTAGCTGTCTAAACACATCCTGAGTGACACAGAAAAAAAAAGAAACACACAGGAAGATGTTATAACTGCTAAGTGATGGTCTCAGGAGTGGTAGCCTTTCTTTGCAAAAGCTCCTTCCCCAGTTCCTACCTGAGGCTGGCATTGCTTTTGTTTTTATTGGTCGAGTTACGAGGTCCCACTTCCTTCACTGCATCATCCCAGAAACCCATGTTTGAGTTTTTGGTATCAGCATTACTCCAGATGCTACTGACTAGGTCAGATGCCCACTGGTTGCTGGGATTAGTGTTTAGGGAGCCCCACACTGAATTCCCAATGCTGGTGTGCAGGTTAGAGTGCTGTTGAAACACAACAAAGAGATCCTGGTTATTAGCACCAGACCAGGCAGAACAGTAACGAACAGACACTGAGAACTGTCACGTACTGTCTCCCTCCACACACTGATTAGATAAATAACCCTACGTACCGTAGTATTTCTGACTCTGTTCGGCTGCTGGTGCTGCTGTTGCTGCTGTTTCTGCATCTGCCTTGCCTCCTCCTGCTGTATCTCCAGCAGGGACTTGGTGGTGCCTGTTGGTTTGGTGACATTACCCCAGCCTGACAATTTTTGCTGCTGTTGCTGCTGCTGTTGCTGGAGGGCCTTCATTAGTTCACGCTGCTGACGCCTTTGCTGTTGCAGGCAAGACAAAAGCACTTGGCCATTACTTTCAGAAGATCACTACTATTCAAAAGTCTGGCTGGGAAACTGGTTTAAAACTGACTTCACCCTCTTCTGGAGGAGTCTGGCTGACCTATTAATTTTTGAGCCACTACAGTTCCTCCAGAAAGGGAGACACTAAGTAACTAGTAAATATAAATTGCTCATTGGTCTAGGACAGAATCAGTTTGCCTAATCAGGATTGTAGCCAGCTAAGCATTTGGGGTCTTGGAGGAATACCTTCTCTCCTACCACTACTTGGCCCCCTGCCCCTTCAAATGCCCTGGTCTTGTCCATATCTGCAAACAAACTACAGTATAGACATAAAATAATTTTATATCGTTTTGCGAACGTATTATACTCCTAACATTAAAAGAAGAGGGTACAGTTTCCCCTCCTCACATATTTATATTAAAAAGCTATTAAAAACCTTCAAACAAGTACTTATTGATCATGCACTAGAAAGACAGGATTTTACCTGAGTTATGCTGGTATTTCAAGTAAACATTCCTCATCCTCATTATTCCTTCTAATCACTTAACCAACAGTAGCACTCACTCTTAACAAGTTACACCGTTAGCACATTTACCTCTTCTCGAAGCTGCCGTTCTCGTTCTTCTTCTAACTTTTGGATTTCTGCCAATGACAGTGTGGTCTGGGATTGACAAGCTCCTGAATTTGATTGCTGACCCCATGTCGAAGATGAAGGGAGCTGGGCCAAAACCCACATAATTAAGAATTACAAAACGTTTTAGAGAATACCACTGAAGTATAATCATGAAAAAGAAATCAGTATAAGCTCACAGCACAGGGGAAAAGAAAGGCCACTTTAAACTCTAGCAAAACATTGGAAAGTATAAAATGGTATAATTAAGTATTAAAAAGTACACTCAAAGTATAAACTGTATGTTTCCTTCAATTACCCTCTGACGTATCATAGTGTCAAAGACACAACAGTAACTAACAGACATGGAGAACTCCAACTTGATATTCCTTATCAAGAAAAAGGTAACACATAACTGCCTGAAAAACAGCAAACAATTTTGATTTAAAAAGCTTTAGAAACTTTGCACTGGCCCTTGATCATTGCAGCAGAATAAACTGTTCTGTACTCAGGAATCCCTTTCCATTATATTTCTATCAATTGAGCCTTTTTCTTTTGGGTTTTGCAACTTCCATTTTGTTTCTCCCATCACTTTTAAAGTCAACTTTTCACCCTCTTCCCTCTCCAGATAGTTCATCCCTTCCTGGTCTAGACAATCCTGAGTTCAGCTGCCATTTTACTCACTACACTGAGTTGGAGGAGCAAGTCAAGCTGTAGAAACCCGTTACCTTCATTTGTGCAAGTTGCTGCTGTTGCTGCTGTTGTTGCAGCCGTCGTAAAGCCTCCTGCTGCTGCTGCCTCTGTCTCATTATTTCTTTCTGGCGCTGGAGTTCCAGCTCCTTGCGCTTTCGCTCTTCTTCTTCGAGCCGCTGTCTGGCTGCCTCTTCTTCCATGCGTAGCCGACTTTCTTCAAGTCGCCGTTGAGCTTCCTCCTCTTCACGAGCCCACTTGGCAGCCTCCTCTTCCTTCCCAGGACATAAAGAAGAGTAAAGTCTAAGTAGACTCAAAAAATCTAAATTACTTCTACTCTCTAGTACCGCAAGCCTGACAGAAGAGAGGCCTTTATACGTGTGATCTGTGCTGGTTAGGGTTAGGCTCATTTAGCTTTATTCTAGTACCGCAAGCCTGACAGAAGAGAGGCTGTGTATATGTGTAATCTGCGCTTGTTAGGGTTAGGCTCATCTAGCTTTACATTTCTCAGACAAGAAAGCCCAATAATATAGTCTACATCACCTCAAAGTGTAACTTTCCCATTGCTCCACCAAGGGACTTGGGAGAGAGTGACATCCCCCTAGTTCAGACTAGGTAATTGCACACCACTTTCCCTCTAGGAGTTATGCACCTTGCAAGTCTGAGGTGCTTCTATCAGCTTACACTTACATTCAAGCACTGCTGTAGTTTCAGTGGAATAAAAATCGACAGGAATAAAGGCAGAAGAGGTGTTGACATGAAAGACGACAACAGATGACAAAGATGGTGATGTTTTCTGTTGTTACTGAACACTAGAGTTGCAAAGGAAGAGATGCTTCTGCTAACAAAGGAGATGACTGCGTGGTTGGACAGAAATGGCGACAGGTGTTAAAAGGGAGGGCCTTAAAAAAGAATTTTTAAATAATAACTGACAATTCTGAAATGGACCTGGAAGTTAACGTTAAGCCAATTGTGTTTCAAGTTGAGTTTAATTTAGGGACAGTGCCAGCATCAGTTTGGGGGTTGGAAGCTCAAGTTCCTCAATATGGACTTCTAAAGCTGACCCCAAGGGAAAAAAAAACCCTGTTAATAGTAAGAGGAGAAACAGGGAAGAAAAAAGCTGAAACCTTGGTAGTGGGTATAGTCTTGGCCTAGTACAGGAAGACTGGCAGAAATTATCATCTCAGATGATGTTAAAGATGACAACGCTACAGTAAAGGTCCAGAGAGCAACAACTCAAATTACTATTCCGGTGCTGTACTCTGCCTTTCTTTTGAAGAAATACCATGCTGCAAAGCCATTCTTAAGGCTCAAACAAAGGAAAACACGCATGCAACACAAATCTCATCTCCAAAGGGCAGACTGGATTCTGATTATTTTGTCTGAAACAAGGATACAAGTAAAAAACCTATTTTTCATTCACTTGATACTGTCTACAAGCTTTGCCTTCCTCCACCAAAACTGATGATCCTCAGGCAAGGGTGCAAGTTTCAAAACTTGTTCCTTCTGGCAGCCTTCATAATTAAATATATTAGGTCTCTTGCCATTTTTCACCTGTTTACGAATTAACTCCTCTCGCTGCCGTCTTTCCTCCTCTTCTCTTCTTCTCTCTTCCAGTCTTCTAAGTGCTTCCTCCTGCTGTTGCCGCTCCTCTTCCTCCCGCTGCCGCCTTAGTGCAATTTCCTGCTCTCGTTGTCGCCTCAGGGCTTCCTCCTGGAGTTGGGAACAAGGTGTCAATCTATAAATGCCATTCCATTGATCAACCACATCAGAACACAGACTACAACATGGTCTGGCCAGATAAACGGCCTTAAAAAAAGTTCCTTAGCTCCAAGCTAAATAATACCAAAACAACTGCATTAAACACTACAGACCCACATGTTAACAAGTTTTCTGATGCAATGTGCATCTCATACTTTTCATTACAACAATTTATGTAAACATGAAATCATTGCCTATCTTTGGTTTTAAAATGGTGTTGAGAATGAAAACGAAGGGTGAGACTACTCTTTCCAATATGTACTAACTGTACTTGAATATATTTTAATGTGAAGGTATCAATAATTCCTTTTTTTTTGGGTGTCAGTTATAAGTTGGAAGCTTTTCCTACTTATAGGAGGTTTCTAAACACTTGGAGTGCACTTGAGTAGTCAAACTCAAACCACATCTCCAGACACCAGAAATAGGCTGAAGAAGCCCAGTGCACTTAAGGACACTGCAACCTTTGGAAGTCCCAGAGACGTGGAACTCGATGAAAGGGCTTTTACTGGGCTATTCCCATACTGTTTAAATATTATGGGCAACAAAAGGTCTCTTGAGGGCTTTGATTTTTTGGCCATCCCTAAATTATTTAAATAGCTACCAATAAACTATGTTTTGCTGTCCTAGGGGCAAAATTATTTACTTAACTCAAAAATAAATATCAGCACCCTTTCCTGCTGCTCTGAAGATCAACATAAACAGAAACTTTTCCATTCTGCTACTTGGTTTTTGGAGGAATAGGGCACAGCCAGCCCTCTGCTGGCTTCCCAAATATTGTTAAATGGGAGCTCATCTGTGGAACTTTTCCCCCAGTTCTGACTTCTCCTTGCATAAAAATTGCCTTGGTTTTGTTGCCTTTTCTCATCTCTCAAGTCCAGCATTGTCTTAAGGCCACCCTGCTTTTTCATCCCTTCTTATTCTTTTCTCCACTTTCTGACTTACCCTGCCAGCTCAACCTAAAGATCCTAATTTTTGGACAAGAACATCTTTAAGCTTTCATAAATACCTTTTCCTTTTGAATGATCAGTACTGTGCAATCATACTCTTACAAGCTTTTTTATAAGCACTACATTATTCCCAGGATGAAGGGAGACTAATTGTGCAGCACGGATATACTTTTTGAACTCTGGTAAATCGAGGAAGTTAATTCTGAAATCTAAGACTCTTTTTACTAAATCTGACACCAAACCTTCCTGTACACACAACGGGGATAAACTGCAAGGCAGCTCCCTGACCAACTGGAGGGGGTTTCTCTCTGACAATGGCCAACTTCAGATGTCTACAATATAACTGTCAGTAGACAGAACTTCTTTTTTTTAATATGGCACTGAGGAGCTGCTGGCTGCAAGCCAAGAAGGAATTCATATTTCTGTACATCGTTTAAGTGGTTTAGTGCTAAATGTAAGTGTAAGTTTTCCTTCTACTAGCTGGACATAAAACAGTAACCCGTGAGTCATTGTCTCATTAAACAAGTTCTTGATTTGTCATATTCACAAAAGCTTCGAGCACAACCCACAACGATTAGACCATTTTGTTACTTGGGCCTGTAACTGAATTAACTGGACACATGCAGTCAAGTCACAATAATCAAGTGTCCCCAATGTCAGTGCTGAAAAAAATTCTGCTTTTTTTTTTTTTTTCTCTGAATAGTCTACTGAGGAGGCTGGAGGTGTGCCAGGACTTTGCTGGACTAGAGACCACACACCAGCACCTCAGTTTAGGATTCCCAGTTGCCACCCAGGCTGGGGGGATGTTTGGCTCTAGTTCACTGATGTAATATGTGGTACCTGAGAGAAATGAACGAAGTCACCAAGTCCTCCTTTATGACAACAGTTCATTGACATCTCTGCCCGACTTTCCCTTTGGGAAATGAGGCTAGAATTGTCATTAATAAAACTGTAGGGATCTCTTTGTTGCTCAGGCATGCCAGGAGAGACACTGGTGAATGGCAGCAATTAAAAAAAAAAAAAAAGACTTCTCTCTCCTAGAGAACTAAAGATGAACAGTGTTGTACCAACACGAGGAAAAAATCTGCAAGATTATGAAAAGCTGTGAACCACATGGCTGATGTGACTCTTTTTTCCTACTCTTCACAGCAATAGAAAAGGTTGTCTTAATATTTACTTCTGTATCTTCTTATTATTCAATGTTTTTGTTTGAGCATGTGACCAAAACCATTCAAAGCTCTCCAGCTTTCTGCTGCTGAATTGTACGGGAAACAGACTCATTCCTTTGGCTCTTACTGCTCCCGCATTCATGGATTTGTGCTCCAAGAGAATCCCAATATTCTTTCACATCTTTTCTAATAATTGTTTTCAACACACGTATCTTGCTGTACAACTGATTTCAGATCTTTTAAAATATTTATAATATTGCAGAAAATGCTTAAGTAGCAAGCCTCATTTCAGTAGGCTCTGGATTCTTAAATAAAATATTATAGTTTTTTGCAGTTAATTAACATCTGCAATTCTGCTTGTCTGTGTTATTAGGGCTCACAAATTTTTTAGGTTTGTGGATCTTGTCTTTGAATCAGGTACTTTAAAGAAAGCACTAAAGATACAATTCAGAGAAAACAATTATTAGCTAATTATTAAACCTCAAATTCTGTTCCTGAAAGTGAACAATCATTACAAAATAGAAAATATCAGATCAGAAACAAAAAAGAAATACAGGAGCTACACAAGCTGGGCATTACTGTTTGCAATTCTACAGTGCAAGTAATTGATGAAAACTATGAACAGAACTGGATTCAACATTTGGTATGACATTTCATCCTACAGAATTGAATTTCTATTAGTTATTTTTTTTTATTTAGAATTCACCATCAACAGCATATTTACTAACCTTATATACTAGTCTTTTATGCAGTATTACATCAAAAGCCTTCCTGAAGTCCAGGCAGATTAAGTCTACTGCTTCACCCCTCTCAGCTCTCACTGTCATCTCCTCAAAAGAAGTTAATCAAATTTGTTAAGCATCATCTCCTCTGTATAAATCCATGCTAATAAATCAGTTCATCCCTGATTCTACAATGCCTTCCAGTACAGAAGTCAGATTCAAATATCAGACCAGTTTTGTTTGTTGTTTTTTTTTTTTTAAATACAGAATACAATATTATTTTCTCTTTCCAGAGAAGTGCTTAAACTCTTTCGTTACCTTTTCAAGACATTACTGCTCAGAATTAAGCATTGTGGCAATAATTCCATTGGTAATGAACTAAGATACTTGCTGTTACTGCTTTTTCAACCGCATTCTGTTTCCTCCTTGTAAGTAATTATTTCTCACGACATGTCAGAAAGGGAGAATCAGATTGTTTACTGTACAAATCCAAAGCGAACAAAACACTTTGGAATTCCATGGACATTTCTAAGTAGTTATACACAGTAGCAAAACTGTTACTCTGAAACGAAACAACCCAAGTCTATTTATTTGAAGCCACCATGGATGAAACACATTGAGTTACCAGGTGATACGCTGAAAAATTAGTTATTATTAAAACAGATCTAAAGCAATTTAACTCAAAATTTAAAACTTTTGGGTATATTATTGCTTTAGTGCTGCAGTAAAGCTTGAACTCGAGCATCAAAGGATGCTTTTCCACTGTATACCATAATGACTTGCTGTACACAAAGTAGATACATTAAACCAAGGAGCCATATATTTACAGACTTGATTCTTAAAGATACCATGAAAGATAACGATGTATCACACTGTAGTCTTTTAAAATAATTGTTCAGTGACAAAACCCAAACACTGAGTGAATTGCGGTCTACGACTAACTTACAAATAAAACTAAAGATTCAAGAGGCTTCCTCAGAAATGTTTGATCCTTAAACCAGGAAATGTGCTTTACAACTGCCTCCCTAAGCACACAGAAAATATTTTAAGGCCAAAATTATTTAATACTTTCACCTATTGTTTATGTGGTACTTTACAGGGCATTTATTGACTAACCCCTTAGTGAATAACCTGAATGTGCTTGCCTTTACCCTGGGCATGCAGAGTGAAAACTAACTTCCACTGTCTTTCTCTCCTATGACACTTAAGGAACACTTAAGCTTTCTTCCATACAAAATTCAGAAGTAAATGCTAGAAAAGTCAAGCTAATAATGTCTCCACTCCATGTCCTTTTAAGATTAAGGACGTACTACAACTCCTAGATTTACTCTCCTACTGCAACACAGATCACATCATGCATTTCAACAAATCTGCTTGTCCAAACTATCCTTCCCTTTCCCAAGTATCAACTCCAGAAAATAAAGCTGACAGACTATAAGATATCACCCAGATAATTATTCAAAAAAATTATTTACTAAGTTAAAAAAAACAGAGGAAAAGAGCTAAATATAACATCCCTTTTTCCACTATAGCCCCCTACGTTTAATTAATTTGAAACAGCTGCTCAAGCTCCAGTCTACCCCAGAACATACCCTTATCAAAACACTAAACTGCATAAATGGTGAATAAAAGATTAAACATACAATAACTGGGCAACTACCTAACACCTAGTATTGACACTAAGAAGCTGGGAGGGAATATTCCACATGGAATAAAGCCTCTCAGCTCACAAACAGGTACCTATCTTGAAGTGAACCATCAGAGCCCATTTCTCAGATTGCAATTTGGGCTCTTAAAAAAAAAATCAAGAACAGAAGAATCATTTCATATACTCACATGAAAAATATTAGAACTGTCTTCATACACACCTACCAAAGATTAATTAGACCCCACAGGATTCTTAAAGTGAGTTTTATAAAGTATTAAAATTAATTAGAGATGAACTACATTGAGGAAACTCACTTGCTTCCTGCGGGCCAGTTCTTCTTCTTCCCGTCGTTTCCTCTCATCTTCCTGCTGCCTCCTAAGTAGCTCTTCTTGTTGCCTCCGAAGCTCCTCCTGCCTTTTCCTCTCCTCTTCCTCTCGTTTGGCCCTCATTTCCACTTCTCTCCTCTCTTGCTCTAGCTACAATTCACATAAAACTATACTCAGATGCAGGTAACGTATTCCTACACCGTTTCTTAGGGCAACTCTGCTGAGATTACAGTAACAACATAACAGATGAAGCCTCTGACAGATGCTCTCCCTTAATTGTCATTTTACCTATCAGCTGGCTGCCTGCTGGGGTCAGATTGCTGAAATAGTCTAGAATAATTTCTGACAATTTCTGTTCTGTAATGAACACCAGTTCTCTAGTCAGGCTTTCTACATCAGCTCCTTAAAATAACCTCTGACTTTAGAAGCTAGCAGCAAGTTGCTTGGCAGTCATCATGAAATAATCAGTTTCAGGAAATGTACAGAATCATACAGGTTTGAACTTATGAAAATAATTTAACACCAGAGTAAATGCGAAAGAACCCCGACAAAAAGGACTCTTACAATTCCCCAAACCAATTCTGGCGAAACGATGCAATGATTAAAAGAACTTCTACCTGCTCCTACTCAGGGTTTGGCATGACAGCTCTTGATGAGCCCATTTAAAACAGAGGTGGCTAGTGAAGAGTTTTTAATCACAAGTGTGAAAAAATATAACCCCTACTTCAGAGGTCAGTAATATCTCCAGAGCAATGGTTTCCAAACAGCAGTCCGCAAGGATTTCATAACTGGTTTTTATAACCCATATTCTCTTTATGGTGTTTTCCACGAATATCTAATCAAAATTGTACAGAGTGGCCTGAGGATTGAAGAGCTAATAGTCTTCCATTGGCTCAAGGTACACAGCTACACCGCAGAACAGCAATCCCAACTTCTTACAGTACAAAACAGTTTCTGACCTTTGCAGCTTTGGCCTTCTCGAGCTGCTGAAGTTGTTCTAGAGCTGGTCCCTGAGCTGCAGTATCAATGGGGAGATCCCAGACACTGCTTCCTTCCCAGACTAGATAGTGAAGAAAACAAACATTGACAAGCAAAAATAAGCACATCAACAAAAAACAACTGGAAGTGGAAAATCTTGTGTATGCAGTTACTACATTTTATGAAATAAAATCATGACAATACATTCATCTTAGTCAGTAAAGGGCCACTTTATCTTCCTGTAGAACAAGACTTGTCCGTTAATGAAGCAAGGCTGGGTTTCCTACAAAATTCCACACACGAAGCAGCTATTCAAACTCCTCCCATCAGAGCAGAACACCTTTTATAATATAACACTCAATACCTTTGGATCAAGACTGCCTGTAACCATGGCAAAAATTACCATATTCTTCACAGCTCTCAAATGGAATTTAAACTGCAAGGCAAAGTAGCCCGAACCAGTTAAAAAAAAAAAATACTGATGCAGAAATAATTTCCCCTAATACCAAAAAGGGAGCCATCATCTCAAAGATGAGAACTTTTCTCGACGTGTCTGACCCATGCTAAGCATCTTACCTGTAGGCTGTGAAGCTGACTGAAGTTCCCATATTGAGCCAGTGTCCGGCACTGACACAGACCTTGTAACAGGTGGCATCATGTTCTGTTCAGATATTCTGTAATACCAACAGGAAGAGTCAACATGCCACTTCCAGGGAGAGGAGTGCTCTGAACACGCATGAGATTCAGTAACTTGTAACATATTCCTTTCCTTCCACACCTCTATTTAAAACAAAAATACGATGCGGACAATACTACTTGTTTGCAGAGTTCTTGCCCATCTCATCCCTGCTGCCAAGACAAGGGCTAAGCCAGATATTGCTACAGTTTTGCTGCTTATAGGCTAGTTTGAGGAACAAGCATCTAGTGTTGCAGAACTCAACTGGCAAAGCCATTCCCTTACCAGCACAATAGACATGTCGAAATGGTATGATTTCAACTATAAGATTTTCCTGCTCTTTTTTATAAACATTCTCTGACGCGAAGGCTACATATATAAAGAAGTATTAGACAGCCTGCAACTGTTTCATATCCATACAATCTTTAAAATATGTAAGGCTCAAACATAAGCAAACTTGAATAGGACGGACCATTGACACGGGCACAATTATCATTATATACAAGTATTGTATTCAGTTCAAATCTGGGCTAACTCACCTCATCTTCAGGGCCTGGAACTGTTGCAAGAGAATAGCGAGCTGCTGCTGCTGCTGGGATGAGAGGGCTGCCTTTTGCTGCTGGGCCAGCACCTGGGCATATTGTTGTCTTCAAAAGAGAAGCAGAGAATCACTGGTATTTGTCCACTTGCTTGTTTATATAATGCCCAAGTTGCATACAGATTCATTCTGTGGGACTAATGCCCACTGACCTATATAATGTACAGGCTAAATACCAGAGGTAACCACAGAATGGGGCCTTGGAAAGAATAAAAATACAAGAATACAACAAAACTGGCCCACATGAACACAACCAAATTTCTCTTCACTTTCAACTATGTCAACTGGTTACTGCTGTCCAATGTCACTCTCGTAAGCTGTGCCACACTACTTCCTTTTTCTATAAATTACATACGTCCAAATTAATCTGGCTTTGATGACTGTCCACCTAAACAAATCAATCTCTTCCCCAGTATGTCAAGGCATCCCCTAGTACAGGGGCAGGCTCTTGCCTTATCAAATTACAAGCTGACAGTCAGTATCCAAAAATCATAATCATGGCACATGCTTTCAGGACCCCTTGAACAAGTAGTCCAGATGATTGCTTTCTCTTCTCCTAGCTCTTACAAAACTAGTTATTAGTTATTAGGAACTGGCCAGAACTGAAGAACTGTCAGCTTGGTCAAAAATTGATGACGAACTGCTTTCTCCAGCAGTTACCTTCCACTGATCTTCAAAAAAGCCAAGCAAGCAGACCAAAAATAGGTTCTGCCTTCTTCATCTCCACTTCAGAAGACGTGAAAACCTTCCCCTGACTCCAAAACATCTGAACTGCATCACAAGGGTAGCTGGGATTCAATTTGACCATAACAGCTACCCGTGTCACCGGTCTCACCAAAGTAGCTACACGTGACACCGAAAAAGACTGAAAAGTGTGCCTGAGGTAGCCCCACTCTGTCCTCATCCTGTAGGCTACCAAGCCTCTGGTGTTTGTGGAAACAGGCTACTGCTGCTGGAGGCAGAGTACTCCCAACCCAGTGCCCAAGGAAACAATGTCAAAAAGCTGAACCCAGATGCCTAAAAAACCCAAAGCAGAGCAGAACAGAACGGAGCCACTGGAAGGTCTCTAGGACCAGGAGTCTTACTGTATTAGAAGATGCTGATACTGGAGGTGCTGCATTTGGATCAGGGCCAACTCTTGTTGCCTAGTCAGCCGCTCTTGGTCCAGCTCGCCCTGTGTTTAGGTATAAAACATTCTATCTTAATAATATATAACAACAGTAGCAGTACATTGCAACTGCAAGCAATGTAAAAGTTACATTCTGAACTGAAAAGACAAAGAAAATAGAAAAATACCTATACAGAGATCAATATTTACAAACAAAACCTGTAGTATGGTGACTGTGAAATATATGGCACTTGTACTTATCACAAGTTCCTTCCAACCAGACACGGCAAAACAAACATTTTTAAACCGAGTCTTTTCTCTTCTTAAAAAGGTAATTTAACACAGGTTTCAACTTTGGGGCTTGGAACACTTGCGATTCCAAGACAGAGCAGCTGACTTGAAAATAGTTTGGTTTCCATTTATTACAGGACTCTTTGAATATTGTAACTGTCACGTAATTACCAGGTGTGGAAGCGGTGCTGGACCTGGAGTGAAGGGTACCCTGCCCCACATTTTCATGATGTCTCCCAGTGGCTGGAAAGTCTCATCGCAGGCTCTCTTGACCAACAGCGACATGGTGAAGTATCCGGCCTGGAACCACTCTGCCATCTCCTGATTACTGAAAGGACCTGAAATAATAACCAACCAATACACATGGAGGGAAGGGGAAGTGAGGCCAAGTTGTGTATTGGAAACAAAAGAGCACGGTGCTTGTTCGAGTGACACAGGACCTCACGTTCCTGTCCATCTCATCCACTTGTCTGGACAGACAGTACATTCAAGGCTGAAATGTCAATGCACACATCTAGATCTTTGCATTCCCCCAGAGAGTCTTTACTGAAAAGAGCACGACTGCTTTTACCACATGTTAGAGGGAGAGGAGTCAGCTCTGAGATGAAAGCCAAGCAGCCACGGTGGTGTGGAGCCTGGTCCAGCAAATACATGTCCCCTTCCAGCAGAGCTCACTATTTAGGGCTCAGCATGAGGGTGACAGACATGTCCCCTTCCAGCAGAGCTCACTATTTGGGGCTCAGCACCGGGGTGACAACAGTCCAGTTTGGACCTTCACAATACCCACTAGTTGACAGTGCTAAAAGTCACCTCACATATACTGCACAGATAATTAAACACTCTTAGCCTGTTTCAACTCCTGCCTTCAGATAAGAGGAACTCATATATTTTGTAGAAGTTTTGTTTCTGGAACTTAGCAGACAAGCAGATCCACCTCTGAGTGCAAGATTATGTTTTTTAAGATGAGGAAACCAGTTTTAGCTTTTCTTTCTCAAAAAGTGACATTTCTTCCTTTCCTCTTTTCTCTGAGAAAGATTTCAGCCACTCCCTTTAAAGGGGGCCTCCTATATTAATTTTACATATCCTAAGGGACACAAAGCCAGTATAAAAAAATTAAATAGGTTATTCAACACAGTAAGAATCATGTAAATACAATTTTTTCAAAAACATCTTCGGAAAAGCAAGAATGTTCAGTAATTCTTGCCTTCTCTGTAAAAGCATCTTTAGAAGCTAATTCCTCCCAGAGAATATGAAATCACAAGAGGTATCCCAGGAAAAAAAAAAATACGTGGGAGTGTTTACTTTTGGAGGTCACATTCAAGGCACTACTTACCCCAGTGAAAAACTGTCAGATCATCACTGAGCAATAAACACTCAGCAACAACTAAGATACAGTTTGAAGCACAGTGAGCAAATAAAAATGCTTTATGGATAGCATCCTTTAAACTTAAAGGGGCGAGAAGAAAACCCTAAAGATATGTAATACCTGCAGACAAGAGACTGACACAGAGCCTCCAGATAACACCCCTATAACACCCAGATAACAAACCCTATCTAGAGCTGACAGCTGAGGAAACCATTCACACTAAACAGCGTTAGCAACCATTATTTAGCGAAGTACAGCAAGTGAGGAACTGCATTGTTGGGAGGCAGCAAAGCAGCTGCTAAAACACAACCCTGAGACCTCGAAAAGTGCCTTCTGAAAGCAAGTATCTATATGAAAGGCTTGTTCTGACTTTCATTGCAAAAAAAAAAAAATAGATTTCTCAAGGGAATACTGCAAGCACAAAATAGTTATTATATGAACTTACAATGCACTGGCTGCAAGTACAATTTAAACTGAGGGTACAAGTGAGTACCAGCTTGCGAAAACTTGCTTTCTCTTTGCTCTAGATTCTAAACAAATTGTCCTTCCCTGAACACTCAGTGTCTTCGGGCTGAGAGTAGAAAACTGATTTCAGTGTTTCTCATAGATTCTTCAACAAGCTACTGAATAGTCACATTCTTGTTTTGTTTCCACTATTATCGGGAAATCTGAGTAACTATTGGCATGAAAAACAGGTTTTAGTCTAATCTCAGTTTGCAGAAACACGAAGTGATGACAAAGCTTAGCCATGATAAAGTCTAATTCTGGACATTAGACATGCTGAGCTGGTGGGGGCAGTGATGAGCAGAAGATGTATTTTCAAGACCTAATTCTAGAATGGTCAATTTCCTGCACCGCTTTTTTAAAAACAAGCACCAGTATCTGTTGGCAGTAATTTTGTGAAGAACTCTAAAAGTTCTGTGAAACAAAAGAGGAAGTGTAAAGGGCACAGACCTACCCTGAATTTCTCCTTGTGGATCTTTGTAGTACCATTTCTGCATGGCTTCATGGAACAGCGGCATAGAGGAACCCTTTGCTCTGTGCTCTTGAATTTTTGCTGCTAGCCTTTCATCATCAAGGGCACTGTCCTGCAGGTATGCCACCATCTTCTCTGCTTGCTGCAGGAGACATCAAAACCAGCAAGGAATACCAGAGTTAGGTGTGTGCTTACAGATTTGAAAATGAGGGTGCCAAATACAACAACCTTGTACTATCCAGCGCTCAAGAGTGCACCTGGATTACAGACAACTTGTATAACTCCACCAGAATCCCAGACTTCAGCCTACCACCTTCTCAGAATCATGAATAAACACGGTTCACCCACCTAAGGAAAGCTTTAAAACAACTTGGCAGGAAAGTCCCACACAGTATCACGGTGAAAAATACAACAGGTACGGGAGCACTAGCATGAAAAATGCTCCACATCCCAGCAGTAACTGAACTTTCACAAACACAGTCTGTGCTTTATGTATGTTGGGATTTTTGGTTTGTTTGTCTATTTGTATTGTAGAGCTGTTTATATCTGAAAATATACAGTACACAAAATATACAACATACAAACAGTATATCTCTGAAAATATACAGTACACAAAATATACAATATACAAACAGTATATATGTTTGTATTCATACACTATGTATGTTTGTATTCAAGAGCACTATTGCTCTTGAATACTGGGTATGGCACCCTTATTCAGGAAAATACTACATGGTCTTGAATTATTCTCCATAAAAATAATGGAAAAAAGAAAAGTATAGCTTTCAGTATACACTGTGGAGTATAAAGTTTCAGCTGCATTTCTGGTTTTATGGGCTTCAAATATTTTTTGCATTCCACATTCCTCCAGTCTCACAATTGTCAACAACAAAGGAATGTGAGAAATTTTACCTGCTCTAGGTGTTTGAGGCCCTCTTCATCATCTGGGTCAGTGGGAATGTTGCCCATGCCTGGAGCAGCTGTGACAGGTGTTTGAACTGGCCGCAGAGCAGGATTTGAATTGGAAACAGGAGGAGAAAGATGAGCAGGAGAAGCTGTGTCTGCAGAAATCTGTGGCAAAGGTTGAGCAACAGAAGCCAAATCTACAGGAAAAAAAAGTTAACATTAGTTGATTATCTTTAACATGAAAAGAAATGAAAATTATTTTTATGAACTTAACTGTAGAAAACTTCAACAACTCAAAATTAGCACCAAAGCAAAAGCATTGTCAGATCTTCTGTATGTATGATTGCACATTGGTATTGTTGGCAGCCCAGGGACGCAACTAAACTTCAAGGAACAAAGAGTTTAATTCTAACATTGCAGAATTCAGCACATTTCAGCATATCCCATTCCCTGGCCATATTTTCCAGGGACTGATCTGCTTTACCACAATGAGACACATGCACACCCAGCTCATGTTTCTCTAAACTGCGTTACAATGTGAAGTACCAGTGAACTGCAAGCATTTAAGATAGCATATCCAACAAATTCTGCTTTTACAAGACCAGTTGGTGAATTCCAACTTTTCATCACCATAATCCAGTCCCCACCTCTTAAAAGAGACCAAGACTAATCACAAATGGAAACTTACTAAATTTATCTACTGAGTTTATTACCTTCCCCTCTGTTGGACATTTTGGCTGGTGGTGTATTCTCTGTTCGATTCTCTTTGTCTTCTGTTTTTTCTGTTCTTTCTGGCACAGACTCTTCCTTCCTTTCAAAGAGGCTCGTCTGCAGCGGGTCTGGAGGCTGGGATTTCGGTGGGGTATCTGACCTGGTAGCCGGTGAAGATGTTTGGGCTGCTTCTTCCACTGTTTCTGTAACATTGTATGGTTCTATGTAACTGAATTAATGGCATTTCTACACTGCAGCATAAAATAGATGCACAAGTCCCTCTTACCTGCCACCACTCTCTCTGTTTTCTCCCCCTCTTTCTTGGTGGTCTTTTCATGATCTTTGGCTTCTTCGTTGTGGCTCCCTTCAGAGTCTGATCTTTCTTCCCCTTCCTCCACAGGTCTGAAGTCCATCTCCTGTTCCTCAGGGATTGGCTCCTTCTGCACCTTCTACAAAGTCAACATAATGACCCATAATCCACCCGACACAACAGGACGTTTGCCCAAAGCGAACAAAGGGCCTGAGACAGCTTCTCACCTTTAAAGAGAGAAACGCTCCGGAGGAGTCAAATGTTCCCATTTCTTCTTCTGCATCTTCTAAGCACCACTCGGGGAGACTGTCTCTGTCGTCGTCCATGCTGCCGCTGCCACACCGTACCCGTCGATAGCCCCGCTCGTCGTCTCGTTCCCGGAAATCGAACTCAAACCTCCGCCGCCGCTCCATGTGCTCTCGCCAGCCTGCGGAACGAGGGCCGTCTGAGGTGGGGGGAAAGCAACTTTACAAGACAGTCCCGGGGGGCAGGAGCTTACTTGGGAGGGTGAAGAGATGACAAACAGTGACAGACAGTCAGAAAGCCCCTACAAGGTACAATCTGCCTATGAACAGGCATCGTAAAGGGCAAGGGAAAGAAAAAGATTCTCCTTAAACAGGAGACTTTCAAATATTGTCCACTGTATATCCCCACATTATAAACTATATCATGAGCATTAAAAAAAAAAACAACAAAAGGCTAAGAGAACTGGGCTATGTAATCTAAAACATGCTAGAGCACCAAAATAAGACAAGTGACATTAGCTGCTGATTGAATTTACTAGCTGTCGTTAACTTAAATCTTTTTTGGCAACTTTTTTATATGTATAAGATTGTTTTCTTTTAGGCAATCTGCAAAAGTTATGTCCTAAACAAACCACCCATGCCTTTTTCTTCTTCCCCTCAGAGACACTTTTGTGCATATACACGAAAAATGGACTGACAACTGTTCAAATACCTTTGAAAGGACTGTTCAGTCTCTCAAATGGTAATTTTGTAGCCATGGAATACTTAGAAACTTGGACTGATAATAAGAAAAGAAGGAAAACTTTCCAAAGTATAAATTTTATTTCACTTCTCATTCTAATCTATTCAGAAGACATCTTCTTTCAACCAAGCATAAAATCCTCTGACTGCAATAATGCTATTTAAACTGTAAAGAACTTACTGCTAAGGAAAACAAATTGGGAGTGAAAGGATAGTAAACAGCTTTCCATCCAAGAAAAGCTGTCTTTACCACAAAGGTGCAAAGGAAAAATGAAAGCACTTCAGTTTTTAGTGCTTTTAGTGGTGGCTGTGTTCTCTTCTGGAGGAAAAAAAAAAAACACTCTTTTTTTGGTCTCAGAATTTTGTAATCGGTGCAGTCTCACTGTTTATCAAATGGCTACCAAAAAAAAAAAAAAAAAAAATCACACTAAAGACAAGAAGCCTTGTCCTCTGTTCCATTTGCTTCATACAAATGAGGAATGTTTCCACATCAACCCTAATACCCTAAGTATTAATATTAATCATGCAAAAATTACCTTTGTCTCATGAATACAAGAAATGTAAAACAAACTCCTTCTAGACACACTATGAACTTTAAGATTATATTTTATCAAGGAAACACAAGTGGTTAAGACTTTAACAAGGCCTTTGCTACACCGTATGTGCTTATTTGCAAATAATTCCACTGTATACCTTAACCTATGCTTCTAATTATGCCTTGGAAACAAATAACATTATTGGTATGCAAAACCGTCAAAATAATGTTCTGAGGCAACCTTTTTAATGTCATTAAGGAAAGAAATAAGGCGCTCTAAGCTTGGACTTATCCCACCTTTTCTGCCTGCTTTAAAATAGTTCTTAAATCTTAGGCCTATCGCGTCAACCTCTTGTTCATCAATAACTTCTTGAAAAATACGTTAAGCGAAGACAAAGGCTCACTGAAGATACACTAATGGAGTAAAAACTCTGGAGAGCTCCAGTAATAACCATTTCATACATCCTCTTTGGAAAAGGATGCCTCTTCACACCCCCTGTGCCTCTGTCCACAGCACCCTGGCCTCCAACCCAGCGCACGCTCAGGAGGTGCAGGTTTCCAAGGGCCTTCTTTTCAAGCAAGTCATGCATATGAACAACTCATTAAAATGCTGCTCAGTTCCAAAAGAACAAAAGCATCTCTGGGAGCAACCAGCAACTAAGCACGACAACACAGCCTACCTGAAAGAAAAAGCCTGACACTGAAATTCCACATGGCATGAGAAGCAGCATTAGATTTACTTCCCTTCTCTCTCCCCATCAAAAATATCAACACATCAAAAACAGGACTTCCTTTGGAATTAGAGGGCTTTTTCCAAGGTTTAAGCACGAGAAGTTGCTGACAACCACACCGCATTTCTGACTGAAACCACGGGCAGACATCTCCTCAGCCAGCAATGTCCCTGTCAGGTTTCCCAATATGTGGAAAAATAGAGTTATGGCCTGAACCTGGCAATGCCATATCCTACAAACAAATTATTATCTCTGCCTGTTTGCTATCCTGGGGCTCGTAATGATCTCAGCATCTCTTCAACTCTCTTCTGTATAGAGGGGGAAAAAATGGTATTGAGAACTTTCTGTGCAGCTGTAAACAGGCCATCTTGAGACCATGCACTGAGAAGGGCCTCGATTATTTTTACATGGCTCTCACCTCGATTATTTTTACATGGCTCTCATCCCTACCCAGCAGCAAGGGGACTCAAACTTGGTTTTTGAAGGTGAAGTCTAAGCATTTGTTATTTCCAAATATCTTCAAAATTAAAATCAAGATTCTGTTTACCACATGGCCTGCTTGCAAAGATTTAGTCACACAACCTCCTTTTATATGCCACACATTTTCAGAGCTAGGTGGACAGGCAAAAAGAAGGTAAGGGGAGCAGACACGTGCCCTTGTTTCTTAATAAAAATGTAAGATTATAAAAGCCTAGTTAGAATATAGTAAGCAACTCAGGTGCAAAGTACAGGGTCGCTGATCTTTAAAGCAAGCTAAAGTAAGGGTAAATCTTAAATTCTTACCTAAAGTTTTTTAACCAACAATTAGGACACAAACAGAGCTTTAAATTCAGTCCTGTAGTACCATAAGCATCAAGCATTATATAATCAAGATTCCAAATTAAAAGAAATAATTTTAAGCTAAATTTACCCCTTGCAATTTATGGTGACATTATAGGTGAAAGAAAGGAACACAAGCTGCTTCAGGAAATACAAGTACACTTTGGTCTCAATTATTAATAGCTATTTATCTCTTAAAAGTTATATTCTCTATTTCAGTAATGAAACATCTAATGTATACTAAATACTAAACTAAATTATACTAAATATTAAAGAAAAGACAAAGGAATAGTACGCATTATACTTTTTTGGCATATATTGTATATGACCCTCATTTTTATTATGCTCAATTTTAGAGCAAGATGTACTTAAGCTGCTTTAAGATATTCAAGAAACACAAAGCACAATGACCAAAAAATAAGAAGTCTACTCGATTCATAGCAGTTACTTCTGAAAATAGAGTCAGCCAAGATGAATTTGAAAACCTTTTAAAAAAAAGCAACAACCAAGAAACCTTTATATGAGGTTAGAGACTAAGACCTCTCTAAAAAACTTTTCAGGAAAAAGATCTTAACAGAGCAGCTGAAGCAAAGACAAAAAAAAAAATCACATCAAAGAGAAATTTTAGGCAAGAAGAGATGATTCCTATTCCTTAAGGATGACCTGGTAGCAAAAACACAAAACCAAAAACATCTATACATGATTCACTAGTTTTGGGACCAAAAAAGGTTTGTGTATGTATCTGATAAGATGGATTTGCTCTGCAAATTTAAACGGTAATCATTGTATGAATGCAAGAACTGGAACAACAGAAAGAAGGGGCTTTTTAGGTAAGCAGTCATTAAACCATTAAAAAAAAGGTAGCTTAAAAAAAATTACTAAAAAAAAAAATCAAGATAACTCTGAAGCAGCCAGTGAATCAGTGAATTTAAAGCTACAGTCAGGTTCTTCTTACAGATAGTTAGCCCAGTCTAAAGATCCTATTTCACATTCACAATAGCAGCAATACCGCGTTTACCCAGAACAACTTTTCCATTGAATAAGCCAAGGAAAGATGTCTCCTTATCAGACTTTGAGTCCTAGTGCACAGACAGTAGTAGAAAAAGTTAGAAAACCCCATAAACTCTGACTAGAAAAGCCTGGTGATACAATCCAGATTTTTCACGCTGCAAAAGCAGGTAAGTTTACATCCTTCTGAATTAAGTAGTAGAAGGAGAAAGGCATTAGGCTCTTCTGTTTTAAGGAGAAACCAGACCGTTTTGCTTCTTCACTTTACTACCAATACTTCAGAAGATCCCTCACTTCCTGTGAGGCACAGCAGCTTAAACGCAGCATGGACACATGACAGATCCCTTCAACTATGTCAAGGGAGTTAACTTTAGCTACAATAAAATAGACCACAGAATCTGGGAAACTATACTTAGGGACACAAGACAGCTCCAGTAGAAGCAGTCCATCCTCTTCATCCTTTGTGCCTATTAAAAAGCATAAAATGAGCAGATTTAGGTCAGCCATCCTGCAGTAAACACAGCTGAAGGAGCAAGAGGAATTCGAAAGCTCGAAAAACAATGGTCTGTGGGAATCAAAGTATTCTTTGCTTAACGACAGAAGATGATAATTTCAAGCCTGACAACTGCTACATTCTTCTAAACAGCTCTCACCCCAAAGGAAAAAAACCAAGCAGCATACAATCTAGTAGGGAGTACGCAGAGCCAAGTCAAAGGAAGGGCCAGCTAAACAAATGACGACAGTACTCTGAAGACATTTCTCTATTTTTAGCAAGACACATGATTAGTGCTATTACCTAACAGCAGAATAAGTACAAAGAAGCAGTTTAAGCCATGCCAATTTGAGTTAAACTCATTGTTTAAAGCAAGAATGCGATTTAAACTGTTTTGATGGTCCAGCGGCTACTACTAACAGGAGAATTCAAATGCAGCTCTAACCAAAGCTGAGGGACTAGTATGATATAGCTCTCAACTCAGTCCATCTCAAAATTAGCAACTTCTCTGCAGATTCATAGAATTCTTAGAACAGGCTTTTTATTACACCTGCTAAAACTAACTTGTAAGTTAAGTTAGTTGTCTACTAGAGCAGACACTCAAGTAAGGAATAATATTTCCTATGATGGAAGGAAGAATTTCTCAAAACCCTCCTCATGATATCTTCCAAAGAAGTTCAAGACGTGAACAAACTTATGAACTTTGAGGTCTGTGTTTCCTTTAAAGCTAAAGCGTGCAGGCTTGTACTTGCAAAACACTTCCCTCCTGAGTATCATGCTGCATCTGATCATCATGAGGTACTATCGTAGCTGGCCCGATGTCATCTGAACTATATAACAAAGCAGCAGTGTCTAATGAACAATCGTGACCAAACATCGGGGAAAAGAAAATTACATTCTTCAAAATTTGCCCCTTAGCCCTGCTCTAAATAGAAAACATCTGATAAGCCCAGCCTTGGTCTCACTGCTAAAATTTAGTACAAGTGAACAGTTGTTTGAGGGAAGAGTAAGACAGAGCTGCAGAGAGGATAAAGAACAGAGACAATGGTTGCTCACAACCATTATAGTACTCAAAGTCCTTTGGGATGTTGAGAAGAGCAGTAGACCCATTGTTAAGAGGAAGCGTGACTTTTCTTCAATTAAAGCAAGTTGTCCACCTCAGCCCCAGAAGTTCCCCATACCTCCTTTGCTTCCCTATGCAGATGTAACAGTAGAACCACCACAATCCTCCCTTGGTTCCCCAGAAGCCTTCCGCAGCCAAAAGATACCCAAAACCAAGACCCCACAACAGGTATGACTGGATAGATCTTTTCCAAGTAGAAGAGTAAAAAAAAAAATCGTATGTTTCAGCCATACTACTCAAATAACAAGCTGTGCTTTGTATTGCCCTTGCAAATCTAGCAACGCAATGCTGGAAAACAAGTGAACGAGATTGACTTTGCCAGGCCAGGGAAGGGGAGAGTGACACCAAGCAGATGCCTGAAATTTAGTGAGTTAAGATATCCTGTAACCAACTACAACATGCAGAGAGCAAAATATTTTGAGATTTTCCAAGGATGCCTCTTGGCACTGCAAAGATGTTTGGACAACGAGAAAGATGCCAACAACCTCAATGGTTTAGTGTCCATGACTCCACCCGACTCCACAGCCTTATATAAGCTACCTGATGTGGGTAACTTCTCTCCTTTTAGCATCACAGCTACAGAGGAACAGTATTATTAAAAAAACCCCTTAATTTATTAGATACATACACACCTTGAGCACAACACAGACAAGCACACATCTGAAGAAGATTGGTCCCTTAAATACATCAGGGTACCGAAGACATTAAAAAGAAAACAAAAGGCACATAATTTTCTGACCAAGAGCCCCTCGTGTGCCAAAACACTAAAGACCAAAATGGCATGATCCTTACCTATTTTTGTCCCAAACTTTATGCCACCTTCCCTTCCTCTGCTTTTCCCATGCCCTTGCCCTATCAGCATGGCTGTATTTTTCTCCAGATCTCTCACCTGGACTGTGAGGACGCCACCTCTCACCATCCCTCCGTGACCCAGCCAGTCGCCAGCCTCCATCTTCATCTTCCCCATTTTGTTCCTCCCTGAAGATGCGCCAGTTCTCGCTCTCAGAGCGTATAAACTCATGCTTCCTCCCCGTCGTTGCTGTCCCACCTTCCTCAAAGTTTGGTCTCACTGCAAAGAAAACACATGCCAGTGAATGTACGTCGCATCTTTAGGAACCTAGAAACAACGAGGTTGAAATCTTGCTCCCTTAGGAGGCAAAAATGCAGCAGAAATAAGTGGTGACAGGAACCTGGGAGAAGAATGAAAGTTCATAGAAGGAAATACACGACAGAGACAGATTTAGGAAATCCCTCCACATCTCTGTGTGCCTTCAGATGGAAAGGCTGAGAAGGGAAAAAAAAACCCAAACCAGAAGAAAGCAGAGCATACGAGAAATTACAACACAGATAGGAAAGACAGAGGAGGAAAAGAGGAGCTCAAGAGACAAGGAAAGCATAAAAGGAAAGAAGCCAAAGTGTGCAGAAAGAGAGAATAAACTGCTGTAGCATGAAAAGGCTCATGTTAAAGGAAACTGTAAACTGTAAACATTACACACATTTCACATAAACCAAACACATTTGCTCCTTCTGTAACAAATAGAATATGAGATCTATATATTTAATCCAATACGATGTCCAGCATCTCTTGCAATGATTTTAGCAAAGACTGAAATTTAAAGTAGGATTAAGGATGCAACAAGAAAAACACAGTAGTGTTAACATTATCCTGTGAATCCATCTTCTGGAGAGCCAAGGGAAGCACGTCAAGTGTCAGAAGCAACTATGCTCAAGGACGAGTCTACCAGAAGTTTAGGAGAAACTAATGAGGATGTAAAATCCTGAAGTACTTAATAAAGTCACAAATATTTTTGTAAAAAGAATTCACATTATAACCCAGTAACCCAGGTTAGACACACACGCTGCTTTTACTACTGACTTATCCTGACAAGATAGACCAACCACCGACAGTACTAGCCTCAGGACTCCTGTAATCTGTATTTCTTTAAATATGTTTAGATGTGTAACACTAGAATTCTCACAGGAACCACGGTGATGACACTTCTTCACTGATACTATTAACCAGTGTTAACTTGAAATTGTGTGGTTATCTATAAAAAAATAGAGTATTCAAGTGCTAAAGAGATATTTAATTTTCTTAGAGTGTTAAAATCCAAAAACGTAAGATGACATTTGGTGAAAATTGTATAGTATGCCTGCTTGCTTAGACAGGAAAAACAAAAGAAAGCATTTCCTGGGCTGGAAAGGGACATTTTTAAGAATTTAGTTTAGGACAGACGGGAGATTGCATTCGCTTTTCTTCACGTTGTGCAGCTTTTTCAGTTAATGAGAAAAAATGAGGAAACAGTACCTGGAATTCTATGGCATATCAAACCTCCATTTGGAATTTGGAAATTCTTTCTACATAGAGATATTGCACTCTGGAGATAGGAAACATAGGCTGTCTTTGGACTTTGCATGTATCTTGGAGAGGGGATATTTTTTTTCTCTATCATCTCAAAACACCAGAGGAAAAAACCTTTTTCATTCTCCAGCTGAAGAATTACCCCAGTATATTGTTTTAGGAAGGGACTAGTGAGAGAATACAGGTGGAATCCAAGCCAGGAAAAAACCTTTTTCATTCTCCAGCTGAAGATTTACCACAGTATATTGTTTTAGGGAGGGACTAGTGAGAGAATACAGGTGGAATTCAAGCCCAAGTACAAAATTCAAGATGTTTCCAGATGAACTCCAGGTTCATGTGAAATCCTATTACCACTGTGACAGAACAAATTTCTCCAAGAACTTTCAAAACAGCAGAGCCTTTGACCTATCACGTAGACAGGAGAGGCAGGAAACACTACAGTGTAAGAGGCAAGAGTCCTTCCACCCTGATGAGTACTTGAGGACCTCAGAAAGGCAACTGGAACACCTTCCTCTTATGTTGTTTCTATATAAAGAAAGAGCTAAAGCATATTGGCTAATTTAAAGTACATCATCAGTATAAACAGGCAAATCTCAGCTATGAAGCCTAATATAACCCAGATACACATTTACTTCATCGAAAGGGACATCTGGCTAAAGACCACTTCTGTGCTTGCTGGGCTTTGAGAACAAAAATTTTTAAAACCATCTATTTCAGGAAGTCTCAGGTGATAGTGGCTCCGAATTCCGGGCTTTGAGAACAAAAATTTTTAAAACCATTTATTTCAGGAAGTCTCTGGTGATACTGGCTCCGAATTCCTGGAGAACCACAGAATGATATGGGGTTGGAACGGACCACTGGAGCTCATCTAGTCCAACCCCCCTGCCAGAGGAGGTCCACCTAAGGTTGGGCAAGAATGTGTCCAGATGGTCTTACAATAAGCAGGTTGGACAGGAATGTGTCCAGGCAGCCTTAGAATCTCTCCAGAGATGGAGACTCTACCACCTCTCTGGGCAGCCTTGATACACTCAACTCCCTTTATTTGGTGGGTGCAACGTTGGCAAGTTTACTTATCTAGAATAGATAAATCTTTGCAGATGAAGGTGAACAACATTCTGTTTTCCCACACTCCACAGAAAATAAAGGAAGACAAGAAGCTAGACTGAAAAATCTAAGTCTGGGAAATACAGGTTATGGTTTGGGTTTGTTTTTTTTTTTTAAATTTTTATTTAAGCCTCTGAAAAATGTCATGTAGAAGTTTGTAACAGAAAGTGCAGGGAAGCTGGTCAGTATTTCTCCTGGGATGGGCTTCGCATAGTAGAAAACTAGGCAACAGAGCTACAGAGATAGTGGCCCAGGATAGGGCTGCAATCCAACAGACCAGATGAGCCTAAGACCCAGACGATAAGGAATATGCCTTATTCCTTCTGAACTTATTTTTAAAATGCTACAAGAAAGAAGAAAAATGTATATATCTCTTTTTTTATTCTGCAGCACAAGACACTCATTTTTCCTCACTGGAACAGTTACTGCAGAAAGAAGTTACTCCATTTGCTATGAGACTAGAAAAATATTTTTAGGGATGTATGTATTATTCTCATTAAAATTCACAGCTATTACCTGATGCTCATTCAGTAACATTAATCCCAGAGATTTTTAGACTTAAGAAAAAAAAACCCAACATGTTATTTCTTTCCATTGCTATTAAATCCACTTAAGATTCTGGAAACTGCTCTTTAACCAGCAAAGCTATCAGCCCACAGGCTGGGTTCTACTGTTCCAAAAATATTT